CACTATTGAGTTATGGATGCACTTGGGAGGTTTGCTAAGCACTCAAGAAGCTAGAGTCGCTCTCGGCTATCGCCTCGAGCGACTCTTACGCTTCTTTCGTGCTTAGCAACCTCCCGCGTGCATCCATAACTCAATAGTGTACGCTGTGGTGTTTACCATTTGTTAATTAGACGAGACATTGATGTCTAAATTACTTCGCCGACGTATTTACTTATTGATTGTTGATAAATTGATCCATCAGGTGTTGTTGCTGAACTGGCCTTTGTCTCTGACCCGTTACTCGCTCGCATCCTCTCCTGGTACCTTCAGTCTAAAATGTCAGTCTCACTCACTTCTACCACGGAACAGCAACGTAAAGTCTACGACGCAGGGTGCCCAGCTTATTGCGAAGCCACACTATTGCCTTTCACAAAGAGAGACTTTGATGGTATTGATGGCAAATCTCTTCCTCTTGAGCTTCCATCCCCGCCTTCCAACTATCGTAGCCCTATTGAATTCGCCGTGAATCTCCTTGAGTTTACTAGCGACAATGGTTACCTTCGCTCGACTTTGTTCTGGAACCTCCTTTCCAAGACAATCGTCGTCAAAGACCTGAAATCTGGCCAAGCGTACCGAGAACATCTCACCAAAATGAAGCAATCGTGCCCCACGATTTTAACACGTGATGGGAACATGATCGCTTCTGATGGCCTGATGGATCCGAAGAGACGCTGTCCACAGAGGTTGGAAGACTTGAAATTTGCGTTCGGGGCATTGCCGGCTCGGGAGACGACGCATTACAGAGAACTGAAGGAGAGATGCGAGGCGCTCGAAAGGCTTAACGCAACGGTGGAGAAATACGAGCAGGAAATGAGAGGTGTCCGCGCCAAAGATGAGCAGCTGAGTAATACCAGAAAGAGCTTATCACCTCGTATAAACGATCTTGAAAGGGAACTTAGAAAACTAAGAACTCCCGAGAAGGAAAGGGACAACAGTGAACCGGCTGATAAACGGAGGAGGAGATAACCATTTAGTTATTCTTCGCGCTGGATGTTAAAACGTTTCTTGGGGAGCTTAGTGGTACAGTCAAAGGACAGATTGTCCATAGTTTTTACAGGTCTCTGTGCGGTTTGTTGTTTGTGTTTGATACAATTTTTTTAGGTCAAAATCTAGTGAACTGACTCCCTTTCATTTCTACCTTGTTTACAGTGCAATTTTTTGGAGAGATATTGAATTGATTTCAACGCAAATTTTCCCTAAATTCGACAGATTAAAGATTACATGGAAATATCCTTTTTTTTCTCAAAAGTTTTACAAGAAATTTACAAAGTATTGAACGAAGTTGTATTGTAAAGTGTTTAGGCTTTAAGAAATCGTTATTTATTTATTGTTAACTACTAGAAAACCTCTCATACATGCGCCTGTTACTTTAACTGAATTAGTTGTAATTTTTTACTGTACGCCATGTTGGATTAAAAACCACGAGTATGAGTTTGTTCAAATGTGGAACTTTTCATCTACCTTTACACCCCGCCACCGTCCGACGTCGGACACTATATGGTTCATGTTTGGACACCAGCGTCAGGTTTTGGACACTAGTGTTTGTTATTGGACACTGACCTTCGCTTTGGACACTAGCGTACGTTATTGGACACTAGCTAGCGTCCGTTTTGAGCTCCAACGTCCGTTTCTTTGACACCAGCGTCCGTTTTGGACACTAGTGTCCAGTATTTTGACACGAGCGAGCGTTTCTTGACGGCTGCGTCAGATTTTGGGCTCTATCGTTCGTAATCGGACCCTTGCGTCCGTTTTCAGATGGGATCGTCTGATTTCGAGCGTTGTCGTCCGAATCGGCCTCTAGTGACCTACTGAAGACTTAGCTGTTTGATGTCAGTAACGAGCCGCCGTCCACATCAGTTTCGAACGATAACGTCTTATTCTGGACAGTACCTTCCGTTTTCAACGGTAGCCTGTAAGAGCTATCCTAAATAAAAGCGAAAGGTGGATATTGTGTTAAGAGTTATAACTACGGACTAACTAATTTTGGATCCCTAGTGCCAACGAGGCCCACAGGTATAAATTTGGATGCGCAGTTGTAAATATCCATGTCATAATTTCAGCACCAATATCCACTAATGGTTCATTCATTCATTTATTCGCACTATTTTAAGAGGTTACAGTAGAGATTGCTATAGATTACAAGAGTCAGAATATATAAGAACAGTAAATTACATGAATAATCTAAAGTAAAATGTGCACAGTGATCAAAGGAGCGGAAGCTTTCGAGTTGGCCACTGTCACGTGTAATTTAACTGGCGTATCTTAACATTTACACAAGACTTACTTTACTTTAATTCTATATTTACACCAACCAAGGTATTTATAGACTATTAATATTGTAAACAAAGAGAAAAGAGAAATAAGTAAATAAATAAATAAAAATTATATTAAGTTAAAAGAAGGAAAAAGATAAAAAAAAAATAAAAACGAGAAATAAAAAGAAAGAATGAGGCAATTAATGCTAATTATGTAGGGTAAATAAAGTGAGGTAAGATTTGTTATTTCCTACAGTTTGGAGCAAGAGAACTAAGTTATTTTATCTAGCATCAAACCAGTTGTGAATTCAACTTTGACCAACCAAAAGATGACGCTTCCATTCTTTTTTAAAGGAAGTAAAAGAGAGACGCTTAATTTCAAGCGGCACAGATTCCCATATCTTGGGTCCACCACACTCTAAAGACATTTTGCCAGAATTAGTTGATATTTGCATTCTGAAATAATTGAATTCATTTGTGAATCTTGTATTATATCTATGTATGCTAGATGCTGGGGTTAGGACATCAGAGATGATATCTGGAATGCTATCAGCTTTATTCACAATTTTATGTATAAGGCAGCACATTTTGAGTTTAAATATGTTTTCTAGTTTAAGAATATCTAAGAGTTTATAGTATGGATCAGGACACTCCCTAGTATGTGCAAAGAAGATTCTTCGGAGGCATTTGTTCTGATTTACTTGGAGGTAATTCAGTTTAGTTTTATAGGCATAGTCCACCGTAATGACTCCTGATTTCGTATACTATCAAACGGTTTTGAACAGCATTTTACTATATCCAAATTATTTTGAACAGCATCGTCCGATTTCCCATTGTTTTGAATTTGTACCGTGCCTGCCTTTTAGTCCGGTTCGTCTTTAGTAACCACTCCTTTTCTACCCAGTCTTCTTCCAGTATTATTTTCTGTACTTCAGTAGTAACCAATAGTTGCATTGGTTTTTGGTCACGTGAGCCTAGTATTAAGTGACATTCGCAAGCCCCAGTGAGTTCAGTGCACGTGGTAATTTCAAGGTGGCCGAGTTGACCGAGAGAGCCCTTCAAGTGAGTTGTAGCTTTGAATTAGTTGTATCACTAGCCCTCTTCTGCAGATATCCACACGTGCACTTAAGTCGCAGACTTTTCTAATCTTCTTACTGGCGTATTATCAGGGCAATTACCTTTTCACATTCTCTTTCAACGAATCTTTCCAGTTAACCACGTGGTTTATGGCGGTGGCAATTTCTCGTTAAAAATGTAACAAAACAGTTTCACAAATGAACGAGAAGAAGGAAATGAAGGTTTAAGCGTTCAGAACTATCGAAATTTTTAGTTTTGTTGCTTTCAATAACGGAACTCTAGGAAATCAGAAGAGAAAAATCAGAAACAGAAAAATTTGTGCGAACGAGCTCTCGGTGTAATGATCGAATACAAACTTGAGGAAAAGTGTATGAAGAGATGGATTGTTCATCCAGTGTATGTATCGAGGAATTTTTCTGCAATGAAACAAGACTTTCTGGTGAAATTTTCCTCCGTTTTCCATAACCTTTGTTTGTGCGGTCACTTCGTTCCTTGGTCATTTCGTTCCGAGCTTCGGTCAGATCGTTCCGAAATATAGTCACATCATCCCACTACGAAGTCATATCGTTTCAATTCTCAAATTACGAACTTTCTTGCTTGAATTGCGGACACACTCTTAATGCAGCAGAGTCTTGGGAGTGTGATAAATGCCTTCTCGTACATTGCAATGACCGACAAATTTATCATAGACGCTTTTACACTTGTTAGATAGAAATTGCTATGATGAACTAACAGCAAAGTGCTTGTAACTAAATAACAGGGAGATGTATAGCAGCTAGAAGGGAGAGTTAGTAAACAGATCTTGGAAATAAATTGGGTGCAGATAATAGTTTCCAAAACCCTCAATTTGAAAAATACCATTAGCCTCCCTGTCTGTCAGTGTCCCAGCTGGTGATGACAAAAGATGACGAGCCTGACATATCTTTGAAGCACCACGTTTTGTGTAGCTTCTTTGGCACTGTGATGTCGAATCGAGGCATTTGTCTGAGGCTGGTAATAAGACAGCTACCAATTACTGGTAATAGTTTTTTTTCCTGAGCTGCTTGCTCTTCTACAACCTTAAAGGTATAAAGGCTTGGATTGTATATCATTTATTTCGATAAAGTTGTGTGAGATTGTAGGCATCTTATTTTTTCCCCCTATTTTTGCTTCTTTTAGGGTGTGGCACAATTCCACTCGAGAAGTCTTTAGGCATCAAAATGTACCAGAAATAAGGAGGATTTTTCTCAGTGGTGAGCAGTATATGAATCGCAAATGAAATCAATCACTGTTACTCTTCTTTAATGTTATTTGTTTGTTTCATTTTAAGTTAGGAAATAGTGTTAGATGGTCATGGCAGTATTTTCACTTCTTGCAAAATCTCAGGAAATTTTGTGAATGTGAAGGTTATACTTCGTAGAATTAATATTGTTCTTGTCCAAAGGTTTAGCTGTTTTTTAAAAGTTATCTATCAAAGGTGTTGGTTTCAAAAGGTAATGGGATGTTTCTGTCATCTTAGGCTTCATATCCTTCTCAGAAATTAGGGTACTATGGATGACAATTTGACTTGAGGAAAGCTGGCATCTTGTGATAGATTGATGATACTAAAGACTAGAGTCTCTGAATGACACAGTCTTGAAGAAGTCTTTGAACACTCTGACTCTATCACTAATCAACAATCTTTCTATTGGTAGTATCTCCATAACTTAAATTTACATGGCCTCTTGTGGTTGGTTTCAGGTATACACAAGTTGATGCATCTATATTTCCCACCAGCTTCCAGGTATTTTGGAATCCATTTTTTGTTGCATGGTAAATGCGGGTCACATACAAGACATGTTAAAGTGCTAATATGCTTGGTGTGCATGGATATTTTTTTTGAAAGAATTTATCCCTGTTACAACTCTGTTATGGAAATTTGTAGAACAATTTGAACTTAGAAGTTGTCACACAAGGGCAGTGTCATCCTCGGATACCCAGGGGCTGTGGGTTGATTTTAAGTTAGGGCATGAAGAGCCCCTGGGGACATTATCTTACAAGACTAGTTCCAAATGGTCATAGTCGTTGTGCCATCTGATTGGTGCCAGAAAATCTTTGTGTTTTTCTGCCCAATCAGAGTGAAGTGTGCTTTGGAGTCCTTTCGTGTGTTGTAACACGGACAAATACTAATAGCTCACTTGCTCGCTGTTTGTTTGGGCCGTGCCACGGAGATTTGCTTGAGGTGAAAAGTTTCAGTCTCTGCACACAAAGTAAGAGAAATCGATCAGATTGTCCGCGAAAATCTTACCGGAAGTTATACTGAATACTTTCGCAGGTATCACTAGAGAACGTGTTTTAAAGTTTGCGAGGTTTGTATACAACACGATGGTTGCAGTCATTGATATGTCGCTTTTAACGTTAAACGAGATTTAAGCTTAAATCTTTTCTAGATTTTTTGCATAATTTGCTGTGACTGAAACTTTGCCAATCCAGTGAAGTTATTTCATCGCACGGGCCACGCAGGTATGTCGAGCAACTGGTACTTGCGCAACTTTCTGTGCGTGCCAAAATCTAATCTCATCTTCGCTTGAAAAAAAAGAAAAGCAAACCCACCCTTTACATCCATTATTTCTTGGTCCTTGGTTTTGTTTTTCCCACTGAAAGCAGCATCGGATCGATTCCCAATGATCAAAGGTATTTAACTTGGTCTTCAACAATCGACAGAAGAGGTGAAATGACAATGACCAAGGGACTAGAAGAGAATCCGTGGCCTCCCTAGCTCAAGAATTTTAACACTCTATGCAGCAGTTGAAAGATTTTAAACTCTTTCCAAACCCCTTCGGTAACTGGCCGAAAAAACCTCTCCTTCCCACGATGTTCTCATTAATAAGTTTTTGTTCAGATTTTAATTAGCTAACCGGAAACACAGCTAAGCTTTCTCTGAGCGCTTGCTGGAGGTCGTCCACGAACTTAAGCCGTATTGTGAAGGACTTCACTACAAAGCGAAGATTAGATTTTGGCGCGCACAGAAAGCAGAAAGCTACGTAGGCGAAAGCGCCAGTTGCTCGACATACCTGTGTGGCCCGTGCAACGAAATAACTTCACTGGATTGGCAAAGTTTCAGTCACAGCAAATTATGCAAAAAATCTAGAAAGATTTAAGCTCAAATCTCGTTTAACGTTTAAAGCGACATATCAATGACTGCAATGTACAAACCTCGCAAACTTTAAAACACGTTCTCTAGTGATACCTGGGAAAGTATTCAGTATAATTTCCGGTAAGATTTTTGCGGACTATCTGATCGATTTCTCTTACATTGTGTGCTGAGACTGAAACTTTTCACCTCAAGCAAATCTCCGTCGCACGGCCCTAACAAACATAGCGAGCAAGTGAGCTATTAGTATATGTCCGTGTTAAAACACACGAAAGGACTCTAAGTACACTTCACTCTGATTGGGCAGAAAAACACAAAGATTTTCTGGCACCAATCAGATGGCAGAACGACTGCGACCGTTTGGAACTAGTCTTGTAAGACAATGTCCACAGGGGCTCTTCATGCCGTAACTTAAAATCGACCCACAGCCCCTTGGGTCTCCGAGGATGGGGCAGTGTAGGAATAACAATGAGCCAAACAACTTGTTTAGGAAGCAGCACACACTAAGCAGGTTGTTGCTGAGAGGGTCACCTAGCTTTAATAAATGGGGTCCTCTGGGCTCTATGGCCAATTTCTTGAATAAACCCTGTGGATAAAAGCAAGTTATTTCTGATGAAAACCTCTTTCTGACACCTCTTGTATGAGTGCCTATGTTGCACATTGAACGCATTTTTATTCTGAAATGACTTGCCATCTCTTAGTGTAAAGACCATTTAGGAAATGATACTGTTTGGAATTAATTTTTTGCATTTATTTGTTTCAGTGGTATGTAACGGAGGATCTTTTCCATCTGTAGTTGAGGTAAGTAGGAAGGTTTATGTATATATTGAACAGTTTTAAAGCTGTTTGATTCCAATACAGGTGGAAATTTGCAGGGAAAAAAAAGGTGACCATAACCTTCCTTTTTGTAGCTGCAAAGATTTGAGTTGTTTTAACTATGTTGTGTTTGGAGCAAGATGTTAACTGGCTATAAAAAGTTTTTGATGTGTCACAGCAAAGCAATTTTTCAAATTTTTTGTTCTTTGCACTATATGAAAAAAGCTCATCACCTTGTTTTTTCTAACAAGCATGTGACAGAAAAAAGTGTAGTAAGGTAAATACTCAATATCAAACGTGCTTTGGATGCCTTCGGTTAAGTCAGCTTAGTCTGTGAAAATAAGGTTTAAATGCTAGTATCAGCACATACTGCAATTAGAGCACAGTCTTGAACAAGAACTATTAATATTTAATTTGGAGAGTTGTGATGAGAAACTTTCAGTTATCCCTGTCATATCAATGATGCTGATAAGTCACGTCAGTCTGATACTCTCCCATGGTCTATTCTGCAACTTGTATCTTCATCATACACTGTGTGACAAGCTCAAATGTCTCTTTCAGATGCTTAAGGGATAGAAATGGCAAGGCAAATCCAGCAGCTTGTAGGGTGTGTACATATCCCTTTTCTTTTCTTTTTTTTTTTTTTTTGCCTTTCTAATGTTTCAGGTAATGGTTGCTTTAATGCAGTAGTAGGCAAAACAAGAACTGGTGCAGAGTGATGAGCAAAACTTTTTTCCCCATCTTATCGACAATGAAGAGAACTCTTTTGTCACTTTGTGACCAAGCCAAACCTCTCTGACTGCATCAAATTCTTGTGTTTGTTAGAAATATGCACTGGGCACTGCTGTCAAAAAATTTCTTCCTGTTTTGAAAAAAGAATATGTGCTGCAAGGTCACTCAAACTTAATCATGAAAAGTTTGCTAATTATTTTTACAACACACACTTTGATTTTGTTATATTGCAGTTCATATGTTGTCATTTGGCCAAAGTTCTGCTTTGTAGAAGAAACTTCCTTTAGGAAAGGTAACAGTTTTGTGTTAATTTTTTTTTATCATTTTTATTTTTGGTAAATTTAAGGTTTTCCAACCAGAATGATGATGTTTTGCCATTTTCGCAGTTTCCACCAGAAAGATTTCTATATCTTGATGTTGGTTCAAATATCCTTGGATGTCTGACTGGTTGAAGATATTTACTTTATTTATTTTAAGTTATGCTTCTGCCTTCAGTTAAACTAAATTTGACAGACTTGTGTTATGATTTCAGGGAAATTTGCTTGTCAGTAAGGATCATCAATGTAAAAAGAAAACAGGAACTGAGGTGAACATATATTTCCTTTCATGTTTTGAGGAAAAGCAGGGCTGTGATCTATCAGCACCTGGTGGCCTTTGGCACCTTACTTTTACTCTTAGATGACTCAGGAATCTTAGTTTTTTCATAATAAGCATATGCTGGGCATCCTGGATTTCACAGTTTTAGAGTACTGGGCTCCCTCAAATTTTTCTAAGAGCATGGCCTTGAAAAGTGTGATCGATTGATGTTATAGACATCATAGAAGTGTAAGCGTTGGCAGAGTTATTGCTATGTTGTGTTGGTCAAAGCAATCACGCCATTTGGATTGGATTAATCTTTGGACACTTGAGTGACTAGCGTCTAAATTTTTCTTTTGATATTACCCCTGAATCACAGCGGAAGGTTTTGAGAATAAAAGAAGTGATCACTAACAGAAGAAGCCCTTGATTGTGAAACAAATTCTCCTTGTTAGCACCTTGGGAAATGGATAGGGATTGTTATGGAGAAAATACATGATGTTAAGGTTTAAAGGGTTACCTTATGCAACTTGAATGATGATTTAGTGCCATGTTCGCAGTTTCCACCAGAAAGATGCTACTGTCTTAATGTCGGGTTAATATCCTTGGATGTCTGATCAGTTGTTCATCTGCACAACTTGATTTTAGTTACAAATCTTGTTAAGATATACTTGACAAGGGTATTTGGTTATTTTACTCTTCTAGATCTCAAAAGAAGGTAGATGTTTCACAGCTTTAAGGAACAGGTGAGTTTATTATGTGAGGAAATATCAGCTGGGGATAATGAGCTAATGCTTTTCAGGAAATTTTTTTTAATTGTGTACTTTCATAACTTTTTTTTGCATGCCTTTTTCTGCTTGGATGGACTGGGTTTCCTTTTTATCTTATGTAACCAGCTTTGAATGAACTGATTTAACCTTCCCTTTCCCCCCAACCTCACCAATGGCGGAAGATATGATTGTGTAACAACATTGTTTGCTGTTTCATTGAAACACACTATTTTTTTCCCCTTATGGCACACAGTTATGAGAACTCCACTTTTCTTGATTTTAGATTGTTTTCTAAGGTTGCCCATGAAAGTCCCATTGCTGGGGAAGGGGGGGGGTAACATAGTCCTTGATCTTGGTCATCGGGGTAGTGTGGGTCTTAGCTCACAAAACTGGACCATTCCTTAACATCTCTTTAATTGGTCGATTCTTTAAAAAAACGTCATACAATGATTTTGAATGTTAACATGGCAAACAGAGTTGTTCGGGACCAGTTATTATCAGAATGTTTGAGCAATGGCCCTTGGTTGGTTAACTGAATCTTGAAGAACAATGAAACACCACTTCAAAGCCAGGATGATGATACTTAGCCTTGTTCGCAGTTTCCACCAGAAAGATCATTGCATCTTGCTGATGGTTTTAATTCCTTGGATGTCTGACTGGTTCTGATGGTACAAAAATAGGCTTTTGGGTTTTTCCTGCCATAACAAGTTCCATTTTCATTATTGCCAATACCTTTTTTTATAGGCTGAAAGAGGGCTTACTACCTGCCAAGAAATGTATGTTGGTGAGTAAGGGTTGGGGATACTGATAGAGGGACCTTTAACTGAATTTTTAAAAAGTGTGGAATGATGTAAAAACTTTTTTCCCCATCATATCGACAGTGATGATAAACTCATTGTCACTTTGTGACAAGCCAGAACTGCCTGACCACACTCTAAATGTTAGGTATATCCAAAATACAAATGTTAACCTTGACATGTGTTTGAATGTCTTGAATGCTGATTGCAACATTTGATTGGCTTTTTTCTAATGTTCAATTTAAAACTGTGTAAAATTCATGCTTGATGTGGGCAGTGTTCTACCTCGTTTTAAGTACAACAGCATGGTTCGTACAATCTTGAAAAGTCCTTGAATTTGGTCAAGTCCTTGAAAATTCCTTGAAATTTAGCAACTTCTGTGCACCTTAATGCTTTTCTGATAAATGAAACGATATTGCTATGGAAAATGTGTCCACTAGTAACTACCGAAGAGCGAAAATGGTCGGTATAAAACGCGATTGGTACATGAATCAAAGTTGGATCTGTGCCTCAATTTCTTGCACAGGGCCTCCGATGTGGGGTAGTCTGCCATGTGCTTTTGTCTTAAGGGGCAACGTAAACATATGTAGGGGTTTGGCTTTGTTTTGGTTGATTAATTTTTCATTTCCCTTTGTTTTCAATTTAATTGAGTGGTGGGCTAATTTGTATTCAATCTTAAATGGTTTAGATTTATGAATAAAACTTAGTCCTTGAAAACCATTTTTTGTCCTTGAAAAGTCCTTGAATTTTGTTTGTCTGAAGTTGTACAAACCATGAACAGGTAAAAACAATAGAGGAACCCTTTTTACTGTTAATTTTTCAGGAATTATAAGTATTTTTAGGTGGTAATAAAAGGGACTCTACAGATACTTTCACACACACGCACACCAACAGTGCTCAAATTTGACTGTGGGACTGATTCTAGCATGCCAGAAGGTTAAAGGTTGCACAAAGATTAAAAGCGATCAAATTCTGAGCAATCTGTTTCCTGTCTGAAATTAATCAATTAAACTTTTGACCCTCTGCAGGGCAGATTGATTTTATCGGTATGAATTCATGATTCTAACCTTGAATTCTTTAACTTATATTTGTAGGATGAAACTTTTCATGAAAAGACATGACCAAGCTTACTATTGTTGTAGATGTTACTGTGTAGAAAGAAGATGAAATGGTTAAACAGTGAGATGGTTGGTTTTTTTGAGGGAGCTGGTAATGCCAGCTCTGTAGAGTCAATAAACATCAGGTTCTCAGTAAGGGTGTAGTCACACAAAGAAAGAGCAAGAAAATTCTTGCAGGCGTTGCCTTTTTTTTTTTTGCTTGTCTCTACTCTTCATGAGGCTGAGCATAGCTTTCTAGTATGGTAGATATGGTGTTCAAATGTTCACTATGACGTCGAATAAAAACCTGCTGTGTTTACTCAGACAAAATATTGAATAGTAGTGAAGTTATTAGCTCATTTCCGTTGAAAGCGAAACCGCTTCCTGTTTAGGCAGAAAATTTGGGGCATTTGGAGCTATTTTTTTTGTTGTCTCCCGAAATAGTCAATTCAAAGAATGTTTACCCCCCTTGGGTTCGTCTTAAAAGTGTATTTCAGTTGACAAATGGAACTACGATCCAACCACCCCAATAGTGGTAACTGGTTTAACTATGCAAGATGTGTTAAAACTGTGCAACTACTTAATATTGCAATTACTATTTGTCGGCGTAACTATGCAAGGGATTGTCTAAAAGAGCCCAATTAAAGTTCTGATTAAGCTGGGGAGTGGCAACTTGGCTCCTGTCTCTCAGTAACGCATGGGTCAGCTTAATGCCTTCATTTCTAAGTTTCGTATCCGCCGGAAGAATCGCAAATGTTGCAGGTAATGTAAAAATTGTCCAATTCCGCCTAACATTCTGTCCCAGTAGCCCAAAAACCGGGAAATCGAGGGAGGGAGGGAGCCCCTCTTCAGTGTTTCCTTGAGGGAAAAAGAAAGAGTAGATTTGATTAAAGTTCATTGAGTGGCTACTGCTTTGGCAGAACGAAGAACCAACAGATTTATTTTCCAGCAAACGAGGTGTTACTTTCCAGTTGATAAAGAGGACTGAGTGCTGACCAATGAAACAACGAAAGGATTGGGAGGGAAAGCTATTTAAAGAGGGATGAGAGTACGTGATTAGAACAGAATCGTGGTCGAATCGATACAAATCACTTTGACTCGTCTCAGAGTTTAACACGATCAGCTTAGCAAATCTTCAATGCACAAGCTGCGAAGAGGTTCTCACAAGGTACTTATGAAACTTGATTTTAAAAAAAATTGTTCCCTTGCAAACTGTGCACATGGTACAGAGGTTCGCACCCAGTCTTAATCAGGTTGCCCCCGAATCTTAACCCTTCAACTCTTTAGATCTGCTTGTTAATTCTCCCCTCTAGCTAAGACACATTTCTTTTTAAAACAATAAGGAGAATTAGGTGTTATATCAAGATATCAACTTCCTGTTAAGTTTGAGTATTCTTATCAGTTTGCTGGATAATGCAGGATGTATCGTGGAGAAGTTAACAGTCGTTTCCTTAGAGCATATTGCTTTTCTGACAGACTCATTTTTTTCGATCAGTGTGTAATTTTTGTCTTAGCCAGGGTAACACCACGAAAATCTCGCCATCGGGACCGCAACTAGCGATAATATCTAAGTATTTCCTTCCAAGCACATATTAATGGCACATACTGTTTCATTTAAGATTAAAATATAACTTCAAGGGCGACATGAGATTATAATCTCTTGGGGGCATGTTCCCATTGAGCCGATTGCCAAACCAGATTTTACTGCTTTTATTTGTTTTGCGGGGTGTTCCTTTTCTTTTCGGACATTACAGGAAAACCACAACAGTTCCTTTTCAACTTTGGCAAGCCAGCTTATCGACAGTTTACTGATTAGATAGATATTTTATTAATAATCGATTTGCAACCAAAAGTTGAGTTATGCGATTATTTACAAATTTTAAATATTAATAATCACGCCTTAGGCCATAGTGTCGGCACCTCTCTCGAATAACCGCCCATCTCTTCTTGCTCACTTTGTTGATTAATAAGGACAGGGAAAAACCTGTTTCCATTGCCACTTAACACTTGTTTAACCTCTAGCTTAAAAGGAATCAGTGTAGGAGAAGGAAAAGCACCCTCCTTAAATTAAGCGCCCTTCCCCTCCTTTGAGCCAAATAAGTGTCCAATGTCCAAGTACATATTCGAGCAATTACAGTATGCTGGAGATGCCTTTGCATGAGCTGTAGGTATCACCTCGTGACCTTGCTAATCAAATATCTCTCACGTGCCTTTTCGTTTAGTAGGAAGATACCTAACCACGTGCTTCATTAATTTGGTGTTTATGGCAGAGGTGTCACCGCTGTTTCAAAATCTTCTGATGAACTTAGTGGCATTGTCCAAGTAGTATTATTGGCAGGTTCACCGGTGGCACCTGTGACCTTGATCATGTACTGGCGTGGGAAAATGGCACAACAGTATTGAAATAGCTACGTTATGAACTGCACCGGACTGAGTTATTGAGTGATGTGTCTTAGACCAACTATGGAACATGATTATTTCTAGACAATGACTCCAGCTGTTACAGTCCGAGTAGACGACAAAAGACTTTTTTGCTTAGATAATTCGTCCTTAACCTTTGCTTAGTTATAGAGTCATTTGAACTTGAATTAACTAAAATTGTCCTCAAATCGTTTCCAATGCTGTCGCGTTTTGCCATTGCGACGACATATTTCCGTTTGGGGTTCTTTTGAAAGCGCAGAAGGTTAGGGTGTCCGAAGGTGTGTCGCGCGGCGACTCTCTATATCTGTTATATTTCAGCTTAAATTAATTTCCCTGGTATCAGATGAGTTAAAGTCTGAATTATGTTAGATCAAGATATCATCAGAAACATGCCGACACCTGTCAGAGTTGAATGACACGGTGAATTGGGCGTCTCTTTGCAGTGTTGTGCCAGTTGGGGATATGTCAAGTCCTCTCTTTCTGAAAACATGCAGGCTATTTCGCTAAAAGGAGGGTTCGTTTGGTAGCAAAAGCCTCCAGGACTCCAGCTGCCACCTGGTCTCTCGGTGCACCGTCTGAAACAGAGAAATTAAAGTTTAGTGTCAAAGTTAAATCCTTCCGTTCATTTGTATTCTAAGCCATTCAGGGACCTGGAATTCATTGGTAGATCACCTGCCACTCTTCTTCGGCCTTGTTCCTCGTAAATCAACTCAATTCTACGTCCAAAACTTCTAGCAAACTTTTTTTTTTTTTGCGTTAAAAACATTTTCCTCTTGTAAGCAAGCGTTCCTTTGCTGTATCAATCAACTGTAACCTTGCATGACCTTGTTCGAATAAGCCCGACAATGCTACGATGAATCGCGTGTCAATCGTATTTGCGTATTTCTGACCTAATGTTGAAGGTTAGACATTTACGGGCAGTTGGCATGCAATCCTTGTTATATAATACCTATTATGAAATGGTGAAAAGCACTTGTTGGTGTTGTGGTAAATCACAGTAGCGCGACAGAAGTTGTACTGAAAATAGTATTTTCTTTGGTAATTTTGTTGTGCGTTTTAACCAAGGGTTTTGCGTAACAGGGCGTTGTCTACAGTTCCAAAGCTCCCCATGTCAGAAGGAAGGGGGGGAATGGGCACTCAACTAAGGAAACTAGAGACTGGATTTTATGTTTTTCTTTAGTTGCGTTTTACGTTTATTGACAGGTTTGCTAGTTTTGGTTCAACGCTTGTAACATTTATGCCTGCTGCAGTTTTGACAGTTCATAAATCTGGCGGTAATTGACATAAGCTAGACCTGTTTAGACATTATAAATTGCAACCCGTTGAACGTTTTCTGATATATCTAGACCTACTTCAAGAACGCTAACCATAATAACAAGTGAATCATGCGTTAAAGAAATCCCCGTAGACGCGATCCAATTGATACGTGCTTCCGGACCAAGATTCACCATCGAAGCTGACGACAATATGCTAGACACGTGTCACACGCTAATCTAGTACAGGTCTAACTCTCCGTAAACTGCAGCTCAGTTGGTAGATCATCGAAGCGCGGAATGCGATATTGGTTTCCTCGTGCGGATTCAGAATTTTTTCTTTGTGCCAGGGTCATAACAAGACGATAGGGCATCCTTTATTTCAATACTGGTTTCTAAATTTATCTTTCTTATGCTAATGAAAGAAGTTCTCATTTTTGCAGACGTTAGCATGATTGAAGTTACAATGATAATAATCCCGGCGCGGCTCACCACACAAAGGAATCTCATATTTTGAATTTATGGTTTATTCTCTCAGCTGAAACAACACCTAGCTAAGGAAACCTTGCAAGATAACCAAATGTAGCATTCTTTTCTTTGTTGCCTACATCAGGGTCTGCGTTAACGAATGGCGTGTTAAGGTTTTTCCTCTCAGCTTAAACAACAGCTGGCTTAGGAAACTTAGCAAGATAACCAAATATAGCATTCTCTTTTTGTTGCCTCTAATAGGCAATAAAAAAAGAATGATATATTTGGTTATTTTGCTAAGTTTCCTAAGCCAGCTGTTGTTTAAGCTAATGTAGGGTCTGTTTTAAGGAATGACATGTCAGATATGATGTTTAACGAATTTCACGCGGTGCAAGGTGATAAGGGTCTCGAGAAATTTCAGTTCAGTGGCGTAGATGAGAAAGGAAACTGGAACATGTAGTGCAAACCTGGGCGCAGGATTTCGTATGAAACCACAGAGACAAAAATTTTGGACCGTTTTATTCCGTTCTGACTCTACACAAAGTGATTGGAATCACGTGGTTTGGGGAAAAAAGGAAAGAGCGGGAATAAAAAATGATCGTCAAACTTTTCACTGTCTCGAAACTCGCAGACGGTTGTTTGTTTAGTCTCCCCGTAAGCTCGAAATCTTTTCCCTTTTTCTTATTACTTCGAGTTTTCTATTTTACCTCTGAATTTTTCCCACAGGCAACTTCACAAGTGTGTTTCCATGCGTGGTTTCCGCACGCAGTAAATCCTAAGGATCTTACCCCATGAGGTTTGGCTTTGGACTGCACGGAAATGATAGAAATTATAATCAAATTACCTTTTAATTTCACAACACGGCTATACTAGTCAAGTCCTACGCAAATTTAACGGAATCTGCAAATAAGATCAAAATTTTTAGATCATTTGATCTGAAAAGTAGTGACTCAAGTGGTGTTCATCCAACCTCCTCCGCATAATTGCGATTTTTTTCGGAAATGTTCGTTAAGTCCACGAGTTATATTAGAACTTGTTAATTATTACCGGAAACTCTTTAGAATACTACGAATATTTGCTTTTTTTTTGCATACGGTCATGAGATCGGGCCCCCCTAGCTGAGAAGCCCCTATTTGTGGTTAAATTCACCGAGGCCCTTCTCACATTGTAAAATGGCCAATATCAAACTTAACGCGAGGAAGGAGAATCAACATTTGGAAGTTCTTCAAAATCCGGGTTTATCTTTCCTCCATCCTCGTACTTCTTGCCTAAGTTACTGTTTCCGTCTAAAAATAAAGCTGTACAAACGATAAATATTATTGGATTTTAAAAGAAACTATCATGCAACAGCGCGTGTCTGGATCTGTCGGCTCTCGAAGGCAAGTGCAAACTGGGAATCACTATAAGAGGCTTAAAATGAGGATTAGGTAAACCGTTGAAAGTTTACGGCTAAAGCGGAAGCCAAACTGCTGCGACTGCAAGTTCCGGATTGAATAGTTTCGATGAAAATTTCCCAGCGAGTGGAATGAAGATTTTCAGTTGACTGAGAGGGGTGATTTGGAAAGCTCGTTTCCAAGCGAAGTGTATTCGAGTTTCTAAATTACAATAAAATCCCGATCCATTGAGTTTATTTTGTGTAAAGGTTTAGAAGCCCTTCCATGAGTGTATTACCACTCATGGAAGGTCAGGAAAGCGTGACTTTTCCCTCGGGTTCACCACTCTTCTCCTGACCTACTGCTGCGCATGTCTAGCCGGCTGAGAGGACATTGACTTTACATTCTGGCCTATTCCGGACAGAATTTTTTTTTTTTTTTTCAATGAAAGTTGTTTCATCTCTTTTCTTTAACGTGCTCCATCTCTTTCTATCACAGAACTATGGTACTTCGTGTTGCAGACACTTGTTTCAACGGGTACGAGTGATTCACTGGCATATATCACGCATGTACATGCGAGACGTCACGAGCGCAAAGCATGTTTGATGTCTTATGCATGTGTTACTCGCGCAAAGTTTATTGCTAAATGTCAAGGAGCACGTTAGTTGTTGCGTAAGGCACAACGTTAAGAGTTTCATTCTTTATTCCTTATTGTAAATTAGATTTTACAACTAGCTTCTAGCGAATCAGGTTTACTTAAATCTTATCTTAAAAAACTGACCAAAGTGACAAGAGAACTGAAATAAACCGTATTATTAAAGACCTAAATGGTTATCAAAACGGAACGGCCCAAGGAATAGTTTAACTTAACTACAGCGAGACGAGGAATATGATCTGTTATAAAATGTTTTTTTTTTTTACGTCCTGTGAGGTTGAGGTATCGTTTATTTTTCCTACGCCACATGAATGATCATTTTTTTTCTTTTAGATGCCTTTCATATCCAAGCATATTGTTTGTTTTTTTATTTTATTTTATTTTGTGAATGATTTTCCTCACCGCAAACCTCATCATCCCTAGCACACCATGCGATGATATCTTAAGATTTCCCCTCCAGCGCGTGTTAAGGTTGATTACTGTTTCAGAAGGGTTAAAAATTGACTGTCGCGCGCCTTTACTGGGCGCGGTAACCCATCGATTAAGCCGATTGTAAACATCATTTTTTTTCGGTTTTTATTTTTCATTCAGTGCAGGAAAACCGCAACAGTTTCTCTCCCAGATTTTCTAATTAAGCTGTTTACTTTAGACAGTTCACCGTTATCTAGCTATGTTCAATGAAAGTCTTCATATTTGTGGTCGGCGGAGGGTTTGGCTTGGAAAATCAACCTACTGGCCACTTTTTATTTGTGTTCCAAATTTGCCACTCAACAAGATGCGTTTCAGTTCGTATTTAATTCAATTCCAGTTCGTAGTTATGTTTGTGCTCAGAAGATATTTTAGTGATATTCATGTTTGAGTCATAGTTACAGATTTCAAATTGGTGGGCCAGCGTCCGTATAATCATCATCGACCCTATTGAAAGAAAATAAATTTACAAAAAGGGGCGTTTCTTTAATAGCAACTGGGTGATATTTTCAAGTTCATCAAATTCAACGTATCGATCTTTCCAGATCTGCCTACACATTTCCCCTTTTCTAGCTTTTTGGTTTCCTTTGGGTCAACTGAAGCCGACAGCATTTGCAGTGATTCCATAATTGGCGGTTTTCTTGGAAGCCTTTGACTGAATCCTCTTTAATTGAGGTTTCAAACCCCGCCCTACCGTGCCCTGCGAGATTTTGCGTTCGGATCCTTTGCCAAATGAGCCACAGAAAAGCCAGAGACAAAATTACTGTTATGTAATGTTTTTTTTTTCTTACCCTTGCATAGAAACTATCACGCTCGTACGTGCCTTTTAGGATTCAACCCACGCTTAGTGAAGAAGTTGGTGTTATCACAGGTGTCAACTCTGTCTATTAACCTTGTTATGGACTAAATTAAAGTAAGCATTGCGTAAAAAGGTTACCGATAGCACTTAAACCTCACCATTGCGAAAGCATGGGGAATTGCCAATTTTTATCAAAGTGAAAAAAAAAGTAATGTAAGGGAAGGAACGTGTCAAATGGTCGACAGAGCGCGTTTGTGAGTGATATGTTTTGGACTGATCATGGAACGTTTCGAGGTGTTCCAATTAGACAGCTAAAAGGCTCTGGGAATTCCTACCTTTTATAACCCTTCGGTTTGTAACACGAAGACAGGAATATATGCCTACACACTGACAAGTACATTAGTCGATTTTAGCAACAGGAGATGACATTTTTTGTCGGGACAAAACTATTGTTCTGTCGTTCAGTCAAGAGTTTACTGTTTTTCTATACCCGTCATTTGAATTAAGAATGAAAAAGATGCAGGTTTGTTTATGCCAGTGTTGTCGTGTTTTGATAATGCGGATAAGATTCATGCACCGTTGATAAGTGCCCAAGGTTAACGACAGAGTGTTTTGTGATTCGCTGTGTAAGGCTTTGCAAGCAGCTCTCCATTGGCTTCCTTTATAATCAACTCAACGAGATTAGAATGTAGTACTGTCCGGTTTTCGATATTGTGCTACTAATTCAGGATTCGTGTGTCATTGAACGATAAAACTAGTATAGGAATTTTACGTGGGTGTGTCGTAAAATCCGCCGTGCAATTTAAGACGATATTAACATTCAGGTCTGGATTATTCACCCAAATATCATATCACATACCACTAAACATATGTCAGAGGTGAACAGCGCGGTAATTTGGGTATTTCCTAATGGTGTTTATCGCTTCAAGCAATTTCACGCGAGTTTCTTTGGATTTCTCAGATCAACCGCAGATATCTAAATTATCTACCTTGTCTTTGCTGGATTGTCCAATCCTCGCAGTTTTTTTCTTTGTATCGGATTCAGGAATACCAAGGCGATCAGTCGATAATAAAGCCATCTATCTGCAGCTCCTTCGGCCTTGAGTATCGTCTGAGAGACTATAATCATCTAAATTTAATTAAAACAAGTGCAGTATTTAAGTTTAGACCTCCTCTTAATTTCTTTTTCAGGAAGCTTTCCAAGGCTAATACCATGACAGATTTTTTCGCTTTGACTCATTTTCTTACAATACAGCTCAGATTTAGTCAGCTCCATAAGTTGATAGTTTCTTACCTTCTTTTACTCGTGTTTAAAACCCTTTTTCCTTTGGAAGCATACGTTTCCTTCCTTCATTTATAATTAGCGAAAGTGATCTCGCATGACTTCTGATGAAATGACCCCGACAGAATTAACAAAGATCGCGTGTTCACTGCCGGCGTTGGTCAGAATGCTGACGGGAAATATGCGAATATTTTTCATAGTAAAAAAGGTATGCCTTGAATGGCAACTCGCTCACAAAGCCCTTGGTTACCGTTCAGCTTTCAGACGCTCGTGGCGATGTGTTTAATTCGGCAGAGCCAGTGGAAAACGACGCAACTTTTTATGAAATTTATCGCTGCACACAACTTGAAAATAATATTTTATCTTTCGTTGGTTAATCGTAGGTTTAAGTTAAGACTCCTACTTGATAGCAATGACACTTGTAACAACTAAGGCATGGAAAAACGTGGGATTATGTTTAGACATACTTATAACTTGGCTGTGAATTTCATGAGGGGGATGGGAGGGGAGTGGAAAGCATGTGACAATAGACTTCAGCAAGAGGAACGGAGATTTAAATACGAAGATTCTTGAAGTGAATACCCGAATATGCTCTTTCCCTTCAAAATCACAGTAAAAATTGAATAGTTTCGGAAAGAAATCCCTCTACGCTGTTGTATTGGAAAGCTTAAGCCTTCTCGTCGAAATGACAACCGAAATTACAACCATACCATAAATAAAAATACTCGTAATTGCCATCAAGTACCTAACAAGTACTAGTTAGGAAATCTGACGTCAATAAAACTTCGACAATCGCAGAACTTTCGGACTGAGATCAGATTCCTAGTTACTGCTGACTGGGGGTAAAAGCATACATTTTTCAGCCCTACTAATGTCTATTTCGACCTGAAGTTTCTTGAGCAGAGTTCAAACTTTAGCTTTGTCCGTATTCCCTCCTTAAACTACGCATCTCTTCCCAGAGTTCACGCTGCGCCGGGCTATTTCTTTGTTTGCCGCCACTAATGACTCGCGCGACCAAACACGCTGGAAGAGGGTTCGTAGCTGGTCTATCGAATGAATCAAACCCGGCTAGCTAAAGGAAACTTTTTTGACATGACAGAAATAAATAATAGTTGTTTGAGTTCTGTTTTGAATTTCCTTTGCGGTTTGACTTTCCTCTCAGCTGCTATTTGAAAGGGTTAATTTGAAGTTATCTTGGCGACATTTTATCATAACTGCCGTGAATGGATGGGAAACGGAGACATTTGGGTTTTCCTTTTCAAGAGTCAATCTTTCGTCCAAAGTTCATTTTAATATGCCTAGAGTAAAAAACCTTCCACGTAGACGAGTTTGTGATCTAAATCAGGGAAATACATTCACTCAGACCACGAACCACTTGATATCAATGAGAAACTTACCAAATCTTCGTTTGGATCACCATCTGTTTCTTGCAGCCCTTGGTGGGAGAGTTTCGTTTATCTTTACTGCTCATTCTTGGCTATGGTAAGTCGTTTTTAAATTAGTTTCATTCGTCTCGATTAACTCAGTCGAATCTAATTTGCATTACTTCTTAAGGACAAATGCCTGATGTACAACATAAAAAACCTACCAGGTGTTCGTATGATGCAAAACAAAAGCGACAAAATCGGCAAAATCGTCGCTCTGATGGAGGCTAACTCTCGAGACGTCGGCTTTAGAAATTTTTTAGGCGACCAATTCGGTTTACAAAGTCAAATCAGTCGATAAAACCAAACTATCAAACAATTAGAAACGTTTTTTGTTCTTGAGTCCTTTATCCACTTTATTAGTAGAAAAATAATTTTCTTTTGCAGTTGCCGCAGCAGCTCGCTTGACTGACTTTTTGCCTACTCGAACAAGGTCATCGAAAAGGCTTTTTCCATTCCCAACATCTATAAACTCGAAATCTCTATTATCTCGAACTCTTTTCGTTTCTCCTGGCAGTTGGAGTGAAAGCAGGGTTTTCCTATATCCAGAGAAACGCCTAGAAGTTTCTCTCTCTTCAACAGCATTTTACACGGAGTCATTAGCGGAAATAATTATGTTAGAAATCCACTAATTTATGTGCAGACTCGACTCTCTACTAATAGTTCGCCTCGAGTACCTCCATTGTCATGTGCGCTATTTTAAAGTCAATAAATCACTCTCGATGGGATGTAATGAGCCATTACGATGTAGAAGCCGGCCGGCATCTATTCATTTGAATTAACCTCGACTCCTTCACTTTCATTTCGCGAAGAATAACCACTAGACTTTGTAATTACAAACGGCGCTTTTACTTGATACTTACAGATATTGGCTTACTTTTTTTAACCCCTAATGATTGTAAGTATTATGTCATTCAAAGTGGTTTGGTTATTACAGACTTCAACCTTGGCGTGTAGGCTCTTAGCGGTGTCACAAATGATTATTAATTTGCCAAGTTATCTGGCAGTCTCAAACCCTTGCTCATTTTGGCCAAGAGCCGAGTCTTTTTATCTTTTTAAAGACCGTGAAGGTCTATTTCAGAGAAGCCTGCTTCTAAAGTACCGTGGGTACGCATTCCGCGCTGAATCAATGATTCTGAATTTATCTCGTTTTTTCCAGTGGTGTTATAATACATTTGGCAATGAGACGGTACTTTTTGGTTAGGGTTGTGTATTGCAATAGCAGTTTTTGACGCCTTATTGCTTCCGATCTATTCTTCTACTCGCTGCTCCGTTTCGTTCTCGGGTTCCGGAGCCTTTCAGGGGATAATTATCTTGTTGCCAGGCACTTCGGCAGCGCTTTTATTCGGATTTTCAAAGAGGGAAATTTGTCAAAGCAGTGAGAATTGTGTCTATGCTTATGATCATATCGTTTTCGTTTGTAGAAAGTCTTCAACGTTACCGACGGAACCAACAAGATCCATCTCTAAAGTTCACATGCTTAGGAAGGGAAAAGTTTGATACTTGAGCAAAACACGTTTTTCACTAAAATAGCCACAATACGTGCCAAGCATTTAATAAACTTGAGATTGATGCGTGCTACAATAAAGGTCGCACACCTCTGAGATAAGGTGTGACCATTCTACCGGAAGACCGCAAGAACCCAAAGAAAGGTTCGTCCATTGTCTTTCAACTAATAACAGGAAACTGGGATTATTTTAGGAGACGTTTAAACAATTTAGATTTTAATTTCATCTAGTCATCGTGTACGATATTTAACTAAAAGCTGAGAGGTGGGCTCTGGCTTCAAGAGCAAAGAAATCACCTAACGGTGAAGAGCATATCAACAGGAACTTAGATAATTGCAGCGCTCGGGTCCTGCTGCAGTGTAAATACTTTCGGGAGCATAACTTGGATTAAAGACAATAAAGCGGTCTTCAGGGGGTTTCACCCAAGCTTCAGATCGCAAAACTCAATAAGTAAATGAATAAAGAATCTTCGGCTTCGCCTAATGATTCTTTTGGAACTCTTTGTGTTCTTTTCCGGAACTCTACCTTTTTTAACTGTTATCTTCTAAAACTGTTTTAAGAATGCAGCGATTGCGACCACCTTACAAAGTTGACGACGGCACAAACTATGTTCGTTCTACGCCTCAGATCTTAACTGCCTGACATGACATCCACAGCGCAGCAAGGAAGCTCTTTTAGCTTTAGAGCCTTAGAGCTGTGAAAATAAACACAAAGAAAATAAATAATAAAAAATATAGTCATTCGCTGAGCCCTTTAAGTACCTTTTATGTAAACGTTCCATATTTTCATAGTAAACTTCGATTCCTAAGATCTCGGTTAGATCTAAGTTAGATTGTCGACCGTCCCCTTGTCCGAAGTTTCTTAGTTCCTTCTTCTTTTCGGGAGGAAAAGTAGTCTCAATTTAAACTTGTGGCAGCATAAGGCCTTAAACTCTTTCCAAATCTTGTTAAACCGTGCATGTTCTCTATTTTTATAATTATCATTATTATTATTATTATTATTATTACTCTTATAAGGATAATTTCGATGCACGTTTTCTGAAATTCTTTCAATACGAACTAGTAGTTGCTTTCGCGATTTTTATATGTAGGTCGTTTTTGTTATTAAAGTTAGTTTGGGTCTGATACGAGTCTGATCCTAGAGAACCGAATTATTATGATTATTATTGTTGTTGTCATCATCGTTACTAACCGAAGCGTGTATCTAATAGCTTTTCTTAGATTCTTATCAGACATTTAAGCCTTTTAACATGATATTTGTAAATTTTTAGTGGTTATGGCAAATTATTACTATTATTATTATCATTATTATTACTATTATTATTATTAGTCATGTTGAGGTTGGTTTTCAAGTACAGACTCGTTCGGCTTCCCTCGACAATTCCCCTTTTAGATATCACAAAAATTATTGTGGGTTATATAAACAAGCTCCCTCCCCCACTCCAATCCCCCACTTTCCCACTTCCCGTTTTCCTACCCCCACTCCCCCAGCCCTAAACATCCGCGTCGAATTATGAAGTAGAAGAGAGCAAGGCGACGAAAAGTACATTGACAAAAGCCCGGGCTCGACGGTAATCGAACAGGTTTCATTCCCGACTGTCTTCACTTCCCTGTATCTTTAGATTTTCCAGTTTGGCCAAATAAGATTATAGACGAACGCTACACTGAGGGATTATGAAATTCAAGTTTTTAACGGAGGGGGTCTTGTGAATCACATTGACCTTTCGTACTACTTCTCTATTTTTAGTCTGGAAGTGTTACTGGATTCGAGGCTCAATTACTGTGACGAGAAACTGACTTTAGTTGTTTTGGCGATCTGTTCAGATTTGCCGAGCTTTTCTGTACGCTATAGGGAAAAGGTTTGATTTTCGCCAGCAAAATCGTGTTTCTCACCGTGTGTAGTTTTTATAACATGTTAGCTGTTTTATTTTGTAATTACCAATCAACACTCTAAAATACTTGTGGCTAAGCCGGCATTGTGACACTAAGAGCTAATTAAATGCTAAAAAAAGGGGAATAAATCTGTGCCTTCTGTCGTATTCTCTTAACCTTTACAAAACTTTAATTCTTATTTACTCCAGTTTTTATCCCAATTTTTTTCTTCGAGTGTTTATTTAATGCTTTTTTAAGCTGCATCACGTGATCACGCCAAAGGGTCAAAGAACACTGATCATTAGAATCTCAAAGAATTTCGTGTAAAATCTTATGAACACGCCACATTTGAATTAAACATCGGAGAGAAATATGTAATCAAATGAATTATTTGCGCCGTAAACTTTAAATGAATGTAGAAACACGTGAGTTTGACTACTAATAAATGTATGTGGGAAACACATTTTCGTGTCTTACATTTGTTTTTCAAGTAAAAGAGCACCTTTGCATAACAGCTTTATCATTAAATCTCATTCAAAGAAGATTTGCGGAAAGTAAACTTTTATAACACGGATTAGTGTTACAGGAAATCTTCTGAAAGTATACCGAATTCAGTAAAAATTATTTCATTTCTTTCTTGCGCTCTCGCGAAGACTGCCCTCACATATGCAACATCCATTTTTTTCTTTCCTTTCTTCCTTTTTTTTCTTTTCTTTTTTTTGGTTTTTGTTTTTGTTTCTTTTCTTTTAAATCCAACGGCAACCTTTCGGTCACGCTAATTTTGAAAATAATTCTCTAAATCTTCCGTGGCTGTTGGCTTTAGCTAACTTTTGGCGTGATGTCAAACCTGATCACTCTAAAGGAAACATATTTTGAAGATTTTTATCAGTTAATCTTAGCAGAGAAGATTAACTGCAAACAGGTAACATGTATCTGTGCGTTGTGCACATTTCAAAGTATTTTTTTTTCTTTTAACTAATTGTGGCTTTGTCGTCAGTTTGCTCAGCGTGATTTTCTTTTTTTTTTTTTTGCGGCATGTGCTTAATGGAAAAGCAACGGCTTCTTTGGCAATTTGAAGAGGTGTCCTGCTGGGTTATGCTGTATTGCAGTTGGATATAAAAAGCACGAACATTCTAGAAACATAACCAGACTAGACAGGACATTGATCCTCAATGGGGATCCAACAGCAGTTTTTCGGTTCCCCATCGGCATTCCAACGTCAGCCCAATCTGTTACGTCAAGAATGTTTGGAGCTATTAACGTCATTAACTGAAAATATTTTATCTCGTTTAAACTGTGTGTGGTTTTCGTAATCTCGACGGATACTTCAGTGATCACTTGCGGGTGTTGAATTTTATCGTTGAGGATTTATATCGAAATCGGTGATTCCCGGGAAAAGTATGGTGAAAAGTTGATCAAACTGCTTCAGCAGCAAGATTAACTTTAAAGCCTCATTTTATGTTTACTATAAACCGGACCTCAACAATATAATCTAAAATTAACTATTGTCAGCTTTGAATTACGAGGTGTGCCTTTCTGTATCATTTTTCTCCCATCTTCACCTGGGGTCTACATCCCAAAAAAGATATTTATTTAGCAAGCTGTGCCTACAGACGGGGTACAATGTTGTATTTAGCACACTGAAGCAAGTTCAAAGCAAAGCGACATTCGCCCTTCTGCTGAAACAAATTTTGTTTCCTTTAAGTATTTTCGAAAATATTTATTTGTCAATGCTAATCCTGATAATTAAAATACCAAGGTGTAGAAGCTAACCCCTCAATGTTTACCTGTTTTCAAAAGAAACATCGATACCTTCTTGGTCTAATTTTGGTGTGATTAAAACAGGGTAAATAAACCATCGGAAATACACCCCCGTACCTTTTTTCCCCCGTCCCGGAAATACGTCAAACTCTCCGATTTTAGGCACGTTTCTCTTCCCCCTCGTTAAAAAACCTCCTAAACATTCGATCTTCAATTTCCTTGTCCTACAGTTTTTTTTTCAAGTTTTAACTTTTTACACAAAAGAAGCAATGTCCCACTAGCAGCGAGGGTCAGTTTCCTTCGTCAAGGTTTGTTTAACTAGTCACTTTGACCGAGTCTTCTTTTGGTATCTGCTTTTCCTTAGTTACGACAGCATTGTCTTTATAAGTATTCCCTCTTTCGGCCGCTTGTGGGATGCGTTTAAAACAAACACAAGTCTCCGGATTAATCTCGACCGCGGATGAACTTAAATACAGATATTTCAATGCTTGGTCACGTTGACTTATTTCAGTAATCAAAAATTTTTAATCAGCAGAAATTTCATGTAATGAAGGCTGGACTAGAACAGCTTCAGAGGTCAAATATTTATTTAGCTGAGTACGTTGTTTACTCGCCTTCAGTAGCGACAAGATTACAGTTGAGTGCAGAAATGTTTTTGCCAGAGACCGCAATTTAGCCTCAGAGCATGATATGACGCTTAAATTCGTACCAGACCTCATGCATATAGTATTGAATATCGGAAGTGTTGTCATTAGCGGCTACAAATCCGCCTGCAGCTTTATTTACGAAAACAAAAAATCGCGGGGCTAAAACTGCACCATTATTTTCGAGGTACGAGCCGTTTTTCGCTTCTTTCACGATGTCGACTTGCTTTTTTTTCGTGATTTGAAACGACGTATCTTCCATGCAATCAGCGTGTAATCCTATCACCTTCTTTTTATCGTGATTGGAGTCTTAAACTGCGCTCTTCACATATCTTGATTGTGCCGCTGTGACATAGAGATATAGCAGTCAAGTAGAGGCTTGATGGCCTCTGGGTTATTTCGGGTAGAAACAGTTTCCCGTCTAGTCAGGGTCTGACCTCTAATGCCATCTGGATTTATCCTGAGTGGGAAATATTGCCTAATGGTTGTGAAGCATGACGCTAAAAACTTCTCTTGTAGCACAAATAACGGCCCTTGACATCAAGGTTGTAAAAGTTTTCGATATTTAACATGTTCACCCTCGTGTTTGTATAGTTTCTTAAACCTCAACTTCTCCGTGACCCGAACTGGTTTATTTAAAACAACACATGCAAACGTTAATGGTGTTGAAAGAAGAGTGCCGAGTTGTTACCTTTCAAATCTATTTGCTCTCGGAGGCTCTGGAGTTCTCACAATCGCCGAAACTGCACTGATTTGTACATACAACAGATGTGCCTGGCGTAAGCTTTATATCAAACGCGAGTGCTCACTTATTTGAGCGTGAAAAGGTATTTAAGGAAGATTACTTCTCACGGCCGCTTACGACGTTTGTTCCACCTAGCTATCTGTCGCCCTTTCCTGTTATTTTCCTGCAGTATATCTCGCCCTTTCCCGCACGCAGGTCCTACGCGGGACTTCTGCGTCTTTAAGATTTTTCTTTCTTTTCTTTTTTGTCGGGGTTGAGTTTTTCGCGCTCAAGTCTCACTGCAACTGTAATTGTAGAAAGGACCACTCCAACTGAACTCGATACTGTAAGATATGTCATATTGAAGTCATCCCCCCCCCACCCCCCACCACCGCGTTGCGTCTGCCGATCTCTCGTTTGATCCAAGAATGAAAATTTTCCCAACAGTTCTGTCATCGATACATGTAAGACACATGGACGGCGATAAGGTTATTAATTATCACGGACGTGTATGAACAGGGTGAAAACCCACACATCCTGCGAGTAGGAAAAAAAAAGTTCTAATCGAAATTCCCTCAGACTACTGCGAAGCCCAAAAATAAAACGAGGTTGCGGTGGCTATCAGAGTAACACTTTCTCCGCCCACGTGGCTCGTGACAGCTGACCAATTACAGCGCTTTCGTAAGTGGTTTCAACCCACCTATGTCCAGCGGGTGTTTAGGTCCTCAAAACAAGCCATCTGATTGGCTGCGGTTTGCGCAGCGTCCAATCAGACAGAGCAGTAACATAATACACCGTTTCGGTTCATTGGTCGTGATATTATTATATCTGTGTTTTGAATAACTATACGCCAATATTCGAATTGGCACGAAGTTCGATTTTACGTCTGGAGAAATTCAGTCTCATTATTGTAAGAGTTTAAAAAGAAGTGAGTTGCGTTGGTGTAATACTCTAGCCGGTGAACATGACGGAACAAAAGAGCGGCGAAACTAAAAAGAGCGATTCAGATGTTCCTCTGGGGAAGAATATGGACTTAAGTAGCGCTATAGCTTCTGCGGTAAATCATGTCCTAGATGGCTACGACTGGTCTTTAATTCCGCTGCCTGTGAGAGTAAACGGCGGACATAAACATAAACCGCATGTGAAGAGACCTATGAACGCTTTTATGGTCTGGGCGCAAGCAGCTAGAAGAAAATTGGCCGATCAGTATCCTCATTTACACAACGCTGAACTGAGCAAAACGCTTGGGAAACTCTGGAAACTGCTCAACGATGCCGAGAAGAAACCATTCATCGAGGAGGCCGAGAGACTCCGGCTTAAGCACAAGAGAGAGCACCCTGATTATAAATACCAGCCTCGAAGGAAGAAGCAAAAAGGCAACGGAGGTCCTGATCAACCTGAAGCAACAATCTCAGCTGATGATCTGTTGAAAGTCCTAAAAGGTGATACCCAACTGATGCCTAAATCTGGATGTGGCCAAGACGGCAACTGCGCGAGTCCAGCAAGTAGTTTGAGCGGTGAAGAAGCCAGTAGTCCGGGATCCAGTAGTTCAGCCACTTCACCGCCAACCACACCAACGGCCACTGTCAAGTTGGAAGGTGGACTGAAATTCTCTGAGGCAAGCGTGGCAGACCATGACATCCAATGTCCTTCTTCCAGCTTTGCCGCGTGCCCGAAGAAAACAGAGCCGAACGGAAGCAGTGACAGCAACAGCAATAACGCGCTTGATTTTCACGTTGAAATGGGCGACCTGACCACAGATCTAATGGTGGACACCACAGAGTTCGATCAATATCTGCACTCGTACACCCAGCCACTGCTATCAAATCCTCCTTCCTCAGCCCCATCGGCAACCTTCACCTCTCACGGCTTCACTCAAACGCATGGAGCGTCCAAGTTTGTGTCAAATAACAATTCTGTCTCGTCCAGCTACACAGAATTTATGGAGCAACTGCAGAAACTTCCCTCCTCGTACCCACCAAATCAAGTCGCTCCCTCGGCTCTGCAGCAGAGGAACCAACCTGACAACGGCGCGTTCCAATTTTCGTTCGGCGACACCGAAGTGAGTGGAAACAGTTCTCGACCGTTCACAATTTCCGATGTCCCCTCTATTGTTATTCCAGCTTCGACAACCTCTGCAGCGCAGAACCCTCAGTCATCTCCTTCCCGAATGCACACGCTTGTTTGGAAATGAAGGTTTTGAAGGATCACGAACATTATGGACGAATTTATAGCTCCTATGGAGCTGGAGCGAGCTCGTTAATTTAAAATGGAGTTCATAGCGTGTCTTCTGACTTTAGAAGCACCAAGGTTTGCATAGGTTTTTTTTTTTTTTTTTTGCCGTGTAAGTATTGCACGATTATTAGAAAAATGAGCAGCTTTCTTTGCGAAATAATCAAGCAATTCGTGCGCTTTAGGCATTTTATTTTATTTCGACGAATTCGCCAACCATTTTATAAACTTTTGTACAGAGTTCTCGTTTTTACGTCTGAGAGCTGACAAAAATTTTTTATTGCTTAACAGTTTTATTCGAGACATCAGCTGACAAGCGAGGAAAAAAGTATGCAGGACGCTAGTGTTCTCCTCTATAGCAAAGCTTCCTAACTTTTGATTTATCGTATTCCCTTACACTTGAGTGGTTGCTAAAGGAAACTTGATTTGCCATTCTATCCACATGTAAATACTAGATCGATAGGGATGATAGCTTTTGTAAACGTCTTGGAGCAATAACCGTGAAACTATCTATGTTTATTAATTTCTGCCTTAGGCAAAACTCTCGTTTTCGTTAGATCTATTATTGGCGGAATAAAATAGTTTTTTGCGAGGGTGAAACTTTGGTTTGTTGGTGTGCTGCATCTGTTTTATTGTGGTTTCCCTTTCGATTTAACAGTCACACTTGAATGCGTTCCACTTCGCCAATGAACCTACAAAGCAAATGTGTGTTTAAGAATTTTTACATCACTTTCACTTCGTCCAAGGATCAAACAAATACTAACTGGCAGTTAAGGGGAATGAAACTAGAACTTAAAGCCTCAAATCGACCAGAGATACGCACTGAATTGCATAAGTTGGCAACCAGATGAATCTGCCGAAAACCGCGATTTGACACATAACACTGATCATTTTGTACGTGCCCCAATTTGCATTTACATAACATTCAATACGCTTTCATCTTGACAACTTTTTCAATGGAGAACAATGCCCTAATAACGTTTTAAGACAAGATTTGAGCTGTGCATTTCACCATTTTAATTCCGAACTGATATAAAATAAATATCTTAAAGCGGATATGGAGGCGAAAGGTTATGGGCGTCACAACCGGATATCACACAGTGCCTAATCGTCAATCTTGTGTGTGACTTTCCAAAAGAGCTAGCCGCTCGTTTTATTTGCAAATTATTAGAGCGCAACGGGGAATGATAACAAACATATGGCTTTTAACGAGTCGAGTTAAAAGTTGGTGTTAGGTTTTTTTCTTTGTAAGTGCAACTCAACACCATCGTAAAGCGGTTTGAAATTTTCTTTTTTTTTTTTTATCAAAAGGGCAGCGTACCGGAAGCTTCGATGACCGGTGTTTGACATAAAAAATTATCGTTGCGAGTCGTGAAGTTTGACACCGAAATTTCAGAAAAAAAAACATCGCTGCCTGAGTTAAATAACGTTTATTAAATATATAAATCTGTTAGGGCCAGTAATTAAGACCAGCAAACATGCTAGAGGGACAAAAGCAACACGCAAGCCGATATGCCAACATATTATGCTGCCACTCTGAACATATTGCGATAAAATAGTGGGTGATCATATGCGTCTAGTCCTGTCTACATTTGACACTGACTTATATTACCAAAGTAACAGCTTTCGAGGCCTGTGTACGAGCACGAAAAAGTGTATTGACACGACAGTCCGAGAATCCAGCGTCACGAAAATTAATGCTGAACCGATTTACTTGGTATATCGTGCCTGTTAAAATCACCGCTCAGATTTTAGTATCGAAATCACGAAACCAATGCGTTGTCACGAATTTATATTGTGCGACCCCCAAGAGAGATTCAGACAATTCTCTCTGGCATCCGTTCGAGACATGTTTTTTGCATGTTTATAGAGATTTTTTAAATAAAATTGTAGACCCGAGAAACCTGTAAATTAGAAACACCGCCGCACTGCGATTTTCCTTTTCAAGAATTTTTGACTTCGCCCCAGGCGAAAAGCGGGTTGATTATAAAACAATATTTTGTCTCTGATTTTGTCTAAAGCTGATTTCACGGACAAATAACTCATGTTGGCATGTGGGTTAATAAGAGGCGTTTCTTAAATTAATAAGGCCCTTTACTTAATATGCTTTATCGAGTAACTCCCGTGGCCGACGCTGTTTTATTCGGATACATTGGTGTTGAAATTTTGAAACTAGACTGAAATCTGTAAACGGCTGCACCGCTGGTAAGATCAGCAAACATTTGATCGCTCAGTCAGCCGGGATTTATGAGAAAAGGTTAAATAATAACAGATCAACGCAGAAATATAACCAGTCGAGTAAACATGAATGAGTTTGTTTTTCGAGTTAAATTCTCTACTTCTCCGTCTTAATTCTTTGTGCAAAGACCGCGAAATGATTCGTGCAGATCGGACATGTCTAGCTACGCTTGGGTGTAAGTTGACCTGGCAATATTTGAATGCCGGACTGCACTATGATGATCTCTTAGCTGCGGGAGCTCCATAGAAAATCTTGGCATTCGTGAAATAAATGAGATCCGTTTGGAAAATCGAGATAAAAGGCGACATTGAACACTGCACTTGAGTAGGTTTGAATGGAGCGTTTTAAACGATCTGCAAATTTGTTAAGCGCACTCGTGTTATCACAAAATCTGGTCGGCACGCAGGCCCTATAAAATTACCTGCAAATCACAAGATTCTCCTAAAATGAAACCTGACAGATTTCACATTTATCAGGGCTGCTGCTTTCCAAATTTCATCATAGCTAAAGTGATTGTCGCAATATTGAACACCATTTTGAAATTAATCTGAATTTTGTTACACTATTTAGATTGGCGCCTTCCCCATCAAATCTTTTATGGATCCTCCGCAATCAAAAGAGTTTTAAATTAATCACTTTAGTTATTCCCTTAACATGTTGGTTTTCGTATGTGATTAAAAATTAGTTTGTATACTTGATGGTGGGTCGCGAGACCCCTGGTTAATTGAATTCAAAATTTTAAATGTAATCTATCATATGATCAATTAGAGCTATCAATCTCGTGAAATTTTTTAAGCTTAATCACGTTCGGCCACAATTGCGGCAGACGACACGCCATTGAGTCATGAAATTAAGATATTTTTAGTCACAAATTTCCTTATTCAGTGATTCTGTCGAGACATCTGCATGGTAAGTTGCAAACTGCGACATTCCGTTTAAAATTTTTTCCGCCAACTTTTTAACTGTACGTCACCGAATTGCTAAAAGAAGAAAAGCTGAGATTTTTTTCTTAGGAGCGAAATAAGGGGTTATCGTGTAAATCATTAACAAATTCCTTTACTGACAAATCGTTCATATTGAGTGCAAAGTTAAGGAGAATGTTGCTTTTGAGATGAGAACTATCTTAGATCACAGATAGAAAATTATTGTCGCTTTACTTATATTCTCGTAACTTTTACTTTTCTTTCGGAATTTGACAAGGAGCTTTGCAAAAAGTGTGCAACTAGATTGTTCTGTGAAATGAACCAACAGAGTAAGCACTTGGACACTTGCTAAGGCACTCAACCAATATTAACAGGAAGAGGCAAAACGACACTTCGATACTCCATACTTACAAGTGAGTATAATGATAATTTTTTTGCAATCAGAAACCAACCAACTTAGTAAACCACAAGAAGAATGTAGTCTAGTAGTACGGTACAACTCTACACTTGAGTGTGTAACAATCAACTTTATCGACAGACTGTGTTAACAACCGATTGAAACTAGTCATCTATGAAAAAAATTTCGGTTAAAACTCTGAGTAGATCGTATGTAATGTGCAAACAGGACCTAACACACCCTTCTAGCTTGCTATTTGATATGGAGAGATGTGATTGAGTTTCTATCTTTGTACAACTTGTGACGCATTTCTTTCGTCTAGTTCTTAGGCTGTGAGACTCTTTTTCCAAACAGCGTACAAAGTTACCAGTTTACCACCGGGTTGTTAAATCATTCGAGTGCCAAGGCCCACATACTCTGCACTAAAAATTTCAACTCAGAACAATTTTCGTTGTCGGAAAATTAAACGGTCCGAAATTGTCCATAGATATAGATGACAGTTTGAAAAGGAGGAGAACAGAAGAGCATAGCAAAGATCCCTAGCTAATAAGCGAGACTGATGTGCAGCTAAATATCAACAATATCTTGTGGTTCTCTCGAAAGCTCACCATCTCTATCGTGAAGCAAGATGCGAAAGAAGTTCGAAGCTTTTAAGTCTCTGATCTAATGATTTATTTTGAACGTTTCAATTCTACTCTCTTGGTCACGCTTTCGGTTTATTTTGTCTTAAGCAACTCACATTTCCATAAGTTTTGGACCAAATTGCCACGTCACGCTGTCTTCAATCAGGTCACGCAGTTGTAACATTAGGTCACGCTATCGTATCGTCAGGTCACGTTGTCGTACCAACAGGTCACGCTATCATATCAACAGGTCACGCTATCGTATCAACGGGTCAAGCACGTCTGATTTAATTCTAGTTAAGCAATTGTACATTACTTGTGCTAAATTCCCTGACAAATCACTCGGTCTCTTGGAGGTGTGTCGTGCTATTTTTGTGAATTCAGCTAAGCGATTTGGTTTTGTCGAATCAACTCGGTCAAGTTACCCTACGTTACAGTCAGTTAATTTAGGCCGCGCCTCTTTTCACAATTTAATTACTTGTTGGTGCGAATTTGATCGACTGTTTGAACTATTTCACATGATCCTGTTAAGAAATTCTGTCAACATCTGTTACGTGGATCTCAACATTTTAGCTGATTTTATTGCAAGGCCACGTCACTTGAATGGATCCTGTTAGAAATTAAGCGAGTCACGTACGTTCCTTGTGTTCTGAGCCTAAGTGGTTAAACCTCCCCAAGTAGGGCCAATCAGAATGATCCCAAGACGAAGTGGTATAGTGCTAAGAATTCTCTAAGTCAAGCTTATTCAGTTAATGTTTTTATCATGAAGTCTCAACACTGTTTCCGAACTTACTGTTATACAAAGGTTTTTAAAAAGATGTTATAAGAGGCGCTATACGTCGGTCAATTACAACATATATGAAATTTTGGACAAAAGCGACAGACACCAATTTTATAACCTCAAACATGATGACCATCCATTAAAAAGCCTACTACCAGTGTACAAAGACTATATTGTAAACATTCGAAGGAAATCCATTGTCAGGCCCATCATTAACGCTGAACGTTTTAAACAAAGCTTTTTTAATAGATTAATTTTTAAATATAGTCTAGCTGTGTAAACACCCCATATGTATTTCTAATCATTTTTAATCATTTTAATTCGATTTAATTATTGTAATTTTTCCCATCAATACATATTTTTACTGTAACATCAGATTTGTAATTTTATCGGATGGTTTTTGTAATAAAGACGAATTTATTTATTTTATTTATTGATTTATTTACTGTTTAGGTCTTAATAACTGTAAGGTCACGCACATTAAGCAACATATGCTGAGTCACGCAAGTTAGTTACTGTGGTTCTGTGACAAAGTAGATTTAAAAGGGCAAGATCATGAAAATTTATGAGATTTTGTGACAATGTGACCGAGCGTTGACCTGGTCACACAAATTTAAGTAATTCTGTGTCAAGAAGGTCATTTATTGTCCTACAAAAACTCTGAAAAGGTCCGTGACAAATTCACAATCTAATCAATCTATTTTTCTTTCGGGTCGGATGCGTCACGCTACCCGTCAGACGAAAGATGATCTCCGACGGGCCAAGTCACGTAATGTTCAGTTTTCTTTCACGGTTCATGCACAAAAATTCTTCCATATACACTATACAGTTTTGTTGCTGATTGGCTGGAAAATTCTTGCTTTATTGGGGTCATAGTGGATGTGAAGTCGTGTGGTAAGCAAATTGCAATAAGGTCAAACAATTTTGTAGTCTTTATCAAACCTACTTTTCTATTAAATAAAGGGTGTAATATCTAAAGAAACTGTAGTGTTGAGTCGGAAGGAGTAACAAGGTAATTTTGGTTTTATCTACTTCCATAGTTAATAATGTAAATTGGCCACCGTAAAGAGTTTCAAAGCTGACATTTCGAGCGTTAGCCCTTCGTCATTCGCTCTGACGAAGGGCTAACGCTCGAAACGTCAGCTCTGCTTTGTTTTGCTTGTGAGATTTCAACGACTAGACCGTTGTCCGAGAAGAAATGAATTTTGTCATTGAAAATAATTTTCCCACAGGACAAAAGAGAGTGACTTAGATGGTGACTGCAGAAACCTTCAAGTGAACTGAAACCCGTATTACCTGAGAAAAGTCTCAGATTAAAGAAAAATATTATTCATTTTGTCATAAACGAGGGATCGAACCCTCAGATTTCGCTGTACGAGGTAGGGAAAATAAGGAATAACATCTTTCCTATTCTTTAGTGTTTGATTATTTATGACTACAGATTTTAAAATGGCGGAGAGTGTAGAATATATTTTTAACTACACGAATTTCAGTACTGTTTTAGCAGTTTTAAAGCTGTATTTCAGTACTTAAGACAACCAAATTGAGAGTACTATAGAAACATGTTTCTCGAGTTTAACGAACATGGATAAATTTTTTAGCCGTACTCCTAAAGAAGATTTGAAACCCAGGCGCTCGGATTTCGCACTCCGACTCTCTTTCACTGAGCTACAGAGAAGCCTTTGATAAACCAAGGTGTTAGGAGGCTTCTATGACTCATATAAGACGAGCGTTCCGCGTAGTTCGAGGATCAACAATGTTGAAACCAACGTGCATGTAAATAGAAGAAGAACGATTGTTACGTTTCAGCTTGGTTGTCGAATTTGAGGATGCTAGTTTTGGGACTAGGATTGACTACCTGTTTCATTTAAAATCAAGAGCCATGATTCTGGAAATTGAGAATTAATTTGTTTTGGTTTCCATCCTGTCACTCATAGCTAACGACCCACTATTAGACGTTGTTGTTTATCCATTGCCGTCCCCATCGTATAATGAGATAATTATGATCAGGGTCAACAGACAGGTTTGGTTTGAGGTCGAGCTATCCTAGACCGCTGAAAAAAACAATGTCGAATGACAAGCGAAGGAGATACAATATCTCACTTAAATTGCAGTTCAGAGGATGTGTAGTTGATCATATAATAGGATAAGATTTAAAGTAGTCAGAGAAATGCTCTCTTAATCTAGTTAAGCCATTTAAGGCCCGTGTTCTGCTTCAGAAACACTGAGGGGTTAGTGAGTTAAAAAAAAACCAAACCGAGACTCGCATGACGACGAGCTTTCTGTTTCAAAATCTGGGACTCCAAGATTTCGATTTTTAACCGATCAACACCTTTTTATCGTTGCTTTACTTAGAGTTTTGCAACGCAGTACTGACGACAGGAAAATATCGCTATAAGGTCTTTTGCGCTCGTTTTTTGTGGTATGTCAGACTTTATTTGCAATATTTCCAAACAACAACCACGAGCTATACAAATGCCACCTTTTGACCTTTACCCTCGAGTATGTGAAACAATTTTCAGGCTTTGAGAATCTGGAAGGAATGCGAGACTTTGAGATCGAAATGAGAGGTGACAAGAATTCGAGATCGGGAAAAGAGTTGGCAAGACCCGGCGTGATCTTTAAGTTGCAGTTCGACTACGCCCTTTACATGGCTTCATGATTCTGCCTGGAGGGTCAGTTCCAATAACCGACATAGGGACAGATTCTGGCCAAACCGACCCTTGTCTTTGAGTTCGATCCGTTTCTCATCACGTTTTAGCGAGGATAAATGGATAACGTAGAGGTTTGAGGGCCAAACAATACAAACAACACGGCTTAGAAAACTCGAGAGAGAGAGAGTGCAATTCAGTCATACAATCGTAAACAGAAGAAGTGGACTTTTTCCATTCATTTCCGCTAGTGAGAAGCAGGCTTTTAATTTTCGTCAAACGTCATAGATAGAAGACACTCTTAAAAATTATAGTTTAGGGGAATTTTTTTTCGTAAGTCAACAAACGCCATGTGACGAATCAGCCAAAGTTCTCTGATGAGTCTCTTAGCCGGGAAGAAACTTTCGCCGCAAGGCAGGTTGGCAAAATGTGCGCTGTTAACTTTTTTCCGTAACAAAATTCTAACTCAACAACAACGACATTTGTTGGTAAGTCGATTAGCTGATGCCTTGAAAACGAAGACAATCAAAAAAAATTCTGCCAAAAAAATGAAACGAACGAAACTTGGTGGTATACAATCTGCAAAGTTAATTACATGAAACAAATGCTCCTATGAAAAAGTTGCATTCTTCTCAGCAGTTGCCTCTTATTTTCCTTTTATACAACCGATAAGAATTTGGTTTTCTATCCGGAAGATTCATTAAGGATTCCCTCGATGTAATCCTTGCGGGTAAAATTAAACTTCTCCCTATTCACAAATTTATCAAAGTGGTAATTCTCGATTATCGCATGGAAGAACAAAATTTCTTAATTCCTTTCCTTTCGATAGACTGAAAAACTTAATATCTCTCTCAAGTATTTGGTATTTAAAAAAATGCATTCTTTCTAACATCTGGAAAAAGTAACTTTCCATCTTAAATAATTATTTTATCGTTGGATTTATACATACGGTTTCTTGCTGACGGCAAATCGACATTTACTGCTATTTTTTGCACTAAGCCGACAATACTCTCCTAAAAGCCGTTGTTTGCAATCTTTATTCCTTCACACTTTACAGAAAATCTTTCCCTTACATTTTAATTTTCTCGTATCATACTTCGTCAACTAACAGGAAAGCTAGATTTCGTGCTTTACAAATGGGCAAAGTATTCTTTCCTTAACGTAATATAGCGAAGTACTTCAGCGGATAAATCTTACTGCAGAATAAATTGTGAAATGGAAATCTTTGATTGACGACCCATTTATTACGTGCAAGTTTGATTGCGGAAAATAAGTTACATGAGGTGGAAATCCTACTGCGTGGATTTCTAATTCTCCCAATATAGCAAACAACGAAACATCGTAGCCTGTTTAAGGCTCCCCGAGGAAACTTTTCTGGCGTTAGCTTTTCTGTTGATTTGTCTTTAAAAATCAATTTTAGTCACAATTTTATTGTAGAATTAGACGATGGGAAAATGAAACAAGTCGATTTGATTGTGTTTTTTTTTTTCACGAACAAAAACAATGGAACAATATTAGTCAGACAAACATCACCTATTGTAGTTGTACACGTTTCAATATTTCAGAAATTCGTTCTAAAAACCCTGAACGAGGTGAAGTGATGGAAGAGTAAAGACTACATTGTAATTTGCTACGCTTCCATCGCGAAGAATCTAGAGTAAAGGAGGCATGTGTACAATACATGGGTGTTTGTAACTCGCAGGTCAGTGCAACTATTATTCAGCAATTCGCTACCTTATTTAGAAGCTTACATCAACTAAAGAACCTCAATTTTGACTCGAGAACCTTAAATTTTACGGCCGTTTTCCTGACGTACCTTGTATGAGTTGATACTGGGTTCAGCTTTGGCCGACAAAATCCTCGTTCAAAGACGTTGCAGTGCAATTACATTTCGCACGGAGGTGAAAGCAAACAGTACTTGTCGTGCCTGAGTTCAGACATGTCAAGGTACTCTACAGCTACTTTACTGATTTTCCCGTTCGGTGGTCGGGTTCGCTGTCGAAACGCACGTTCGAAGCGGTCTACATTCTCGTCAATAATACGTTATACACAAGAAGAACAACGAATGGTGTCAAGTCATTCCTCCCACAACGGAAATTATCCGCTACAAAACAAACGTGGATTGGCCGTTTAACGTATATAATAACATCACTGACATAACTCAGATGCCATAAAAGAAAGCAATCATTGTTAGTCCGAGGATCAATAGAATCCTTATTGTACTTCGGAAAGACAATGTTACCAGGGCAACTACATTCCAGACCATTCGCCTCCCACGCACTGTCGCCTTATTTGGGAAAATCTTAAGAGTGTTTTTCGATTTCCCGCGCCGAATAGTTGCCGAGTCCACTTAAATATATCAGTTAAAAATTAACTAACCGGCTAAATTGCGAAAGCCAACGTCTGAAACTCAGCTCTGCCCTTTGTTGTTGCATGGAAAATGGTTATTGAGCTAATCCGGGCTTTGTTAGATTATGAGGGCATTACAGACACGAATATATTTAAAGTTGTTTTTCTGCATTTTTGAGATTTTTGGAACCTTAATGTAGATTCAAATGTACCCTATTTTGTAACTGTTTTTTAACACTAGCTGCAAGGGCATGATCTTTTTAAGAAAAGACTTAAAACAATCTTGCATCTTATGCTCTCCTTATTTGCTCACCAAGACTGATAACGCTCTAATGAAGACACTTAAGATGCCCTTGAACATTTGGTAAAACGAAGGAAATCAATCGGTCGCGTTTTTGTACATGCCCACTAGTCTGGGTTACAGTGCTTGATAGTCTAAACATTGGCATCTTCTGATAAGAAAACAATGAAATAAAGCATGATTTGTTTTTCACGTTAACAAGATCTTCGAAAATAAAGTACTTGCCTATCTGATGAAATTTAAGAAAGGCCTTTGTTTGTGGAAACATGTTTTGCAAATCGAAAAGGGAAGAGAGGCGGTTTCATGGCACTGACAAACTGAAAAAGGGCGACGTTGAAAGTTTTATTTCAGCGATTCTGCCCTTGTTATTACGTCGCAGTTCTCTATTCTGTGAGATACAAACACAGCCTCATAGAGCTAAAAGGAACAAACCAGATTTCCTGACGCCGTACGCCGAAAACTGATTTCATGATGACTGTAGTTCGTCGTGCTATTCTTTCCGAAGCATACTAAACAGGGTGCTCAACAAAATTCTCCCCTGGCTCAAGTCCTGCACCGCTTTATCAGCACCGATGTGTTCTGTCAGTAAAAATGCAATTCGAGTGAATATTTTATTTACCGGCGTTCAGATCTGTGTAGCTCTTTTTGTCATTAACATCCACGATCACGACACACACTGAGAATGGAAAACACAGAGTCTTAGTATTGATAAGTAATTGCAAAAATGTTAATCTCATCAGTGAAGCTCTGCACAACAAACGTCAAAGTTTCGGTTATTTTGATTTGTAAACTTCCTTGCTTGATGAATCTGGGAAGCAAAATGATGCTACTTTTGAAAATCGTGTTTTTTCCGGAGTTGTGCCCTGAGCTCTGAGGATTGCGTTGGAATCTAGTCAGCCACACATCGAGAACGTTCATCGAAGCTCGCCGAGGTATATCCGGTGTTAGTAAAGGTGGTGCTGCTCAAGTAGTTGTATTGGCAATCATTTAGTTTCATAGACTATAAGAACAAGGAATGCTTGAATTTGGAACGTGTCCCTTTTGCGAAGCGAAACTCCGTTATCCTCTACAAACTCTACTAATCCAACTAGAAGCTGGTGAGAATTAAATTCAACTTACCATATGGCCTTGTGAAGCGATTCTTGCGCTCTTTCTTCGCGGTTTGGCGGGCAAATTTTCGTCCATTATGACGAGCTCAAGAATACTCGTCAGACATCAAAGGTGACTTAAGACACCGCTAGCAAACAATCCAACAGAAAGTCGCGCTTCAACGCTTTAATCAAACTTAAGAGAAAACATTGCTTGATGCTGGTAACAAAAAATTGTTTCTCCAAACAATAATGACATCTTGCCAGCATATTTCATTTCAGGATCGATTACAAAACATTCCCCGTTAACAATGTTCCTCTGTCCTAGGTGTAGAGACTGCATTAGTAATGGTAATCAGCGCTTTCATTAAAAAAAAAAAAAAAATTACGCCAGTTAATCGTAAACGCACTAAAATTGTTATTTTGTAACACTCACCACTCAGTAGCTACAGTGGAACCCGATACAACGATCCTCGACATAACGATATCCCCGGTACAACGATAAATATGCTATGTCCCAGAAAAAGTTACAGTAAAATGTATAGGACAGAACCCCGTCTCGATAGAACGATAACTCGATACAACGATCTAATTCCACCGCTCCCTTGGCATATCGTTATATCGGAGTTCCACTGTAGTAACTGTTTGGAGGAATTACTGCTGACTACGTTAGTACGCAAAGAACTGTTGAGGGATCAATCGATAGATGTCTTTTTGTAACTTTCTGCCATGCTTATACTTATTTGTAAACAGTCTATTGATCAAATGTGGAGACCTACCTCTTAGGGCGTTCCAAGTCTGAGTTATATTAAACATCTTTTGAGTTAATGTCAACAACAGGAATATTTTTTTTTCTGATTAGAAAGGGGTCTTCATGTTTCTCCTCGACACAAACAAGCGAAACAAGAGTCCCTTTGATGCATAGGTTTAGCCTCTTCACGCTGGTCAACGGATCCATACCATGCATCATGCCGTAGGCGCAAGAACGAGGATGTATTAGCAGGGCAGGCTTAGTTTCTTAAAAATTTTGGCTCTCTTTTGGAAATTTCATCTTGATTGCAAATCCATAACGGTGCAAGATTCCATCATTTGAGTGATGCACTTGTACTCCTGCTGTGCGATTTTTTTTTTTTTTTTAAGTCTCGTGGTGCCAGACGATCCAAAAGTCAAACAAAGGTGTATTTCAAGAGGAGATCTCTTTAGTTAGGCCCCTATACTACTCAAACACTCGCGTAATTTTCACAACTCCATTTCTGACCCCAGAGTCTCTGTCCAAAGGGTATTCAAACAACTTCTATGATCTTTCAAGCAAGCGGTTCCGATGAACCATCGACGTTCGGTTCTAAAACTATCGTTGAGTATCGCGCCTTTTGTCAGATGACCCAGGCAGAGTACCAGATCAATCGAAGACAACACGGAGTGTCATACATGAAGAAAGAATGGTAAATCAGCTCGTCCTGACTATTGTCCTGTTTCTCCTGCTTTTCTGCATGTGCAGCAAGCTTATAGAACGCAGTGTAACGCTGCATCATTTTCGCCAAACCAAACCCGGCTTTTCCGAATCGTTATACCTGCGTATGATCTCAGCACGGCCTTTAGCAAAACTTATCCTGTCAAACCCAACTTTCCCTCGGCCATCAATGACCGGGCAAAAAACATCAATCGTCACACCCAAGCAGATGTGGCTCTCATTGAGATAAACAAGGACTTCAACTCTAACTTACCCATGACCTAAATTGAACTTTTAAGGTTCTCCAGTTCACTGACGTGCTCTCTTTGTGTACCAGCGCTGGAGTCTCTCTGAGTCATCTTCAATCAGGATTTCTTCATTTATGACACCACCTTTCTGGGTATACCGCTAAGAAGTTTTTGTAATTGCTTGACACCGCTTATTTCCGACCGAAAAAGATTATTTCTAACAGTGTGTTAACGATCTTTGGTGAAGGAGCACCTTTCAGTTTTAAGAGACAATTTTGCCAGTTCCAGAGGTTTTTCCGAAATAGAGGCCCTTCTGTATTAATTTTGATCCATGTTAACTGACGACATTACAGGTAACCTTAGCTCCGTCTTTACATAACTTTCTGTAGATCAAAGTGTCCTATTTAGATAAATGGATGGTTAGTGAGGCCTTTTGGTTGTTGAGCAAGACTTGGACAATCTTTGCAAGTGAGCCGGCCCTTGGCAATGATGCCATGAGTCGGTGCAGTTCTAGATCACCAACCTCATAACGTGCCAAGAACAAAAACGATGCACATGAAACGAAGGTGAGTCAATTACTGATATTCTTCTTTTTTTTTTCAAAATTTTGACGTCTTAATGATCTATAAGCGAAGGAGCTCATTGCAAATTGCAACAGATTCGAGTAAAATAATTATTAGTTTACAAGAACTTGCCTCGCAGCGTATTAGTGTTCTAGGATTTGTCCTCGTAACACTTTCTTGACTTTTCTGACTCGTCTTAAATAGCTTTTACGAGGCTTTCAGTTGCTCAATTTAAAATGTTCTCGCAAACGCTTTCACAGTTGTTCGCTGTAGTCATGATAGCGAACCAAACCAAAGAAGAAATTTTGTTTATATGACCTTAGCGGCTCTTCCTTGACAGATCATAGCAACGTCCAATCATAGTGCGCATAAGTCTTCAGTTCATTGCTAAATACTTTTGGTAATCTGTGAGCCATCATTATTTTTAGCGCTGCAGGATGCACATTTTTTTCGTCCTCGGAATGAGTCGTGGAGACGTTTGCCGTGGGTCTCACATTTGGGGCAAAAAACTCAATATATTGGAATGTGCCTTTTTTCGAAGAATTCTTGTTGAAGCTGCAATGCTTCATACGCAATTAGATATCTTGAGAGAACTAGACGCAAAAACTTTGGAATGCACAGACTCAGACGTGGTAGAGGCGTATCTTTCCACGCCGGAACTTGTACACCCAGATCAAGAATGGGTCTGTGAGATCGAAGTTGAGGAGACCACAGGCAGCCCAAGCTCACTACTAGAAAAGCGGACGTGACTCTTACCATGTTGCGCAACGTTTTATATTTAGAAAGGTTTGTATGCCGGGGATGTTATCGGTTTGCCTTAAAAGAGAGAAAAAAATGTCTTGTTTTGAAATAAAATGGGCTTACCTTATTGCCTTGTTGTTTTCTTTGTTGATTCCTAGCATCTCAGACCATTTTGAAGCGTTTTCGGCGAGTTAGCGCTATGTTGGTGTACAAAGAAAGACTTTCTTTTAGCGGTTGAACACCAACATAGCGCTAACTCGCCGAAAACGCTTTAAAATGGTCTGAGACGCAAGGAATCAACAAAGAAAACAACAAGACAATAAGGTAAGCCCATTTTATTTCAAAACAAGACATTTTTTTCTCTCTTCTAAGGCAAACCGATAACATCCCATACAAACCTTTGTAAATATAAAACGTTGCGCAACACGGTAAGAGTCCCGTCCGCTTTTCTAGTAGTGAGCTTGGGCTGCCCGTGAGGAGACAAAACTGGTAATGCGAATGAAAAAAGCCGGAAAGACATGACGACAATCAAAAGACGTTTCTGTTAGTCGCCGAAAATGTTTGGTACAGATGGAAAGTAACCTTACTAACTCTGAACAGAGAAAATCACCAATGTTCAGTCTTTTGGCTCTAGCCTTGCAACAGAGATCTAAAATGTGACATTTACCCTCATCGTAGGGCATCTCAGATCAATGATATGAATTCACAACACTCACCAGTCAGGAGGGCATGTTTCCGATAAATGTCTAATTTTAATAATCTTGTTTTAATCAATAATTGCATTAAGCATTAAATACGTAAGTTTTACCTGTCACACTCCTCCTAACAGTTAATTGACCTAAGGAAAGGCAAAGCGTGTGTTACGACTGCCTCTTGAAAACCGCGCTTTTTGATTAAGTATGGTAAAACCAAAATTAAAGTTATCAATTGAAAACAGCCAAGCAGATCCAAGTTGAATGTTACAAAGGGTATTATAACATAGCGCGCGCGCTAGTCCTATCTAATTCCTATTGCGTCAACATGAACAAAATCTTTATGTACGCACGGCTGTGCTCAATAAAATGACGTGTGCAGTTTCAAAATAGCTGCAAAATTTCCGTCGTGTGAGTACCTTAAGTTAAAGTTTCGGAAAGCAATAATAGTAAATCGAAGACCAACCAAACTTTTCTTTGGCTTTTGACCTTCCCGCAAGTAATCAAGCCAACAAGCACAATGAAAACGAAACAAAACAGGCCCGTTTTCCGAATAACAGGCCCGTTTTCCGAATTTATCGGAACAGGAGTTGGAGAAAATTTTAGCTGAAAGACATTCAGCAAGAACTAAGAAGACTACAAATTGGTCTAAGGGGACTTTTAAAGGTAAACGTCTCTGTTGATGACGTTTTTTTGGGTTACATTTGTTAATTCTACCGAAAACCATTTAATTACAAAATCAACAAAACAATCGGAGACGCCAACATTTTCGGGTAACTTTCATTTAAAAAAACACTACAAAAACGTCATTCAGCGCCCAAATTGTTTTCGTATGTTATAAAAGAATTGTTTCACGCTTTTAGCTGTGCGTCTATCGAGTTAAGGATGCACTTGGGAAGTTTGGAGAGCATTCAAGAAGCTAGAGTTGCTCTCGGCTGTGCCTCGAGCAACTCTTACGCTTCTCTCGTGCTCTCCAAACTCCCCGCGTGCATCTATAACTCGATGGACGCACGCCAAGCATGAAACAATTCTTAAACAGAGAACTTAAAGTTAACACACCCAAAAGAGGGGTCTTTCATGATGTAGACGACACAATGACTGTGAACTGTATATGAAAATCACATGTGTAAACTGCAGTTTTTAAGAAATTAACATGATAGTGATCTTTGCAGTAACGAGCTCTACTTAAGCATTAGTGAAAAGTGACTTGCAGAAGATACAGTTGACATAAAACAATCGAAAACAAAAACACAAGACAATGAGGACGACAATGAAAACAAAAGATTGACGAGGTAGTGTTCAATTGAGAGGCATCCTGAGTCTTCTACACCAAGGAACCCAAGTCACGATTGCTTTTAATTTTGCTTCTGATCGGCTGAGGGTGCACGAGTTTTCTGAGCCAATCATAGAGAACAAAGAACATAGTGAAGAAAAAAAATGAAACCCTGGACTACTTTTAATTTAACACATCTTAGAATCATATGAAAAGCAATCAAACTACACAAGAATCCTGCTGATGAAACCACCTTTGCACCATAAAAAAAAATTTTCTCCTAACAGGCAATTTGCCAAACAAGGTTACATCAAAAGGTTCAAACTGGACTATCCCCTTGTTTATGGAACACTAGGGTCATAAAACAGAAAAATAATCCCCAGATGGATTGCTTCTGTTTGAAAAAGTATCATTGCTTTTGTACTTAAAAAAAAATTTAATATATCTTCTAAAATTTACGTTAAGGAGTAATATTTGCTGATCTTCTTTAATAAAAATGCAGAAAAAAAAAGTCAATGTACAGAGTAATATTATTCCACAAAATGAACTGGTCACCAAACAAAAAAGAAAAATGGTCTGTCTCATACAAAATGCTTTCTATACACAAGTACATGATAACAGTTATTTACAAATAATTATTCTAAAATCCTTTTTCCTTTTCTACCTTCAAGAGGTTGTCATGTTATGTATGTCACATGCTGCGCACACACGAGTCTCTTATTGCCTGTATAGGTGCAACCCACAGAAGCCAGTGGTAGCAACAACTCATCAGATACAGCGGCAACTTGCAGGGCCGAAGCTGGGACAGTTTCGCTCCAAGAAATTTCAAGGCATCATTGATTTGTGTTAAGGATAAAAATAATTCTTTGAAGAAAGGCAAAAGTTGAATAAATTCTTATCAATAAATCTATGAACACTGCGAATTTACCATTGATGAAGAAGTGGTGTTAAGTGATAGTATGCTGGACTGTAAATTTAGAAGTCGAGGTTCATACCTTGTGCACATCACTCTGTTGTGTTCTGCACAGCACCTATTTTTTCTTTTCTTTTAATATAAATAGGTACAGAGAGGGGGGAGCTACCTCCAGACTGTCAGGGAGATCCTATGGGGAAACCCACAGACTTTTAAAATATGTTGAGAGCTGATTTGTCAATGGTTCTTTCCTCTGAGTTTTAAACTTATGGAATTCATTTGGAAATAAGTTTCTCTCTCATGCAAACCCCACTAGGCTTGAGGATCTGATTAGCAAATGCCACAAATTCCAAATCACCAACATAAAAACTAAACAAAGCCCACGTTTTTTTAAAGGATATCCAAGTGTCCAAGGAGGTTCACCTCCATTAATATAAAGCACATAAGAGAATCCATCCTTGTGGGTTCCATTGATGGCATAGTACAAAGGTAGGTAACGAAACTGCTTAAAATGCCTCTTATCATAAAACTTCATTGCAGCCGAGTTTGTGGTTAAAACATGAAGATAGACAGCTTTGCAATTTTGCCTCTCAGGCGTGGTGAGGTGGGAGAGTAAACTGTCCAATAGAAGGGTCCCTGAAATAACAAGATCATTTTGTTTACATGAAAGTGTTTGTTTAATCAATCAGGTAAGAACAACCCTACTGAGATTCTCTTTGAGGGATGGTTTTTATGGACGAACCCTGTTATCAGAGTAACAGAAACCATATAATCTTTGTTTCCACCATTTTAAAGTAAATAAAAAAAAAAATGAGACTCTAACCCTGTTTTGAGATTCCACCTTCTAAAGATTTTCCTCGAATGTGCTAAACAAATTCCACTACTGACACCCCCATTACGAACTTGCTTAGCTTACTTGTGATGTAAGACTAACTCCTCTTTATCTCTTGACAATCTCTTTGTACAATAAGAAGCAATACAGATGGCATTCTCGACACAAATTAATTTTTTTGGCTGTTTTCTTTTTTCTGAACCCCGCATAACAACTTCCCTTGGTTATAAGTTTTCTTAAAGCAGGTAGCAAAGTCCAATTTTTTGCACAATTGAAGACAATTTTCAAACCAAGTTATTCTTTGGAATCTAACAATTTATGTGGTTGGTGGTAAATATTTAATACAGACTCTCAAGGCAGAGTAAAAATTTAATGGTCTTGGAGTACACCTCTCTTGTAACTTCCAAGAAAATCATGATAATATAAGGAAAGAACTGATTACCAATTCCATGTCGTCTGTATTGTTTTACCACGCCAATGCTAAGAATATAAGCCACTTGGGAATCATCACCAAAAGCAAAAGAAAGAATTCCAGCATCCTATAAGAAAAATCAAATATTGGGTTAAGGTTACCAGAGTCCTAAACTTAAACCATCACAGTAAGTATCACCCTGCATGGATTGATTTTGCCCTTTACAAATAAGTTTGACTTTACCCTTATTTAAGGTTTACCAATTGGTCTGGGTCAGGTTTTCTGAAATCTGAATAAGGGGGTAAGTTTCTAAAGAAACTGTAGTGCTGCATCAGTGGGGGTAACAAGGTCATTTGGTAAAATCAACTAAGTTGAAATAGTAAATTGGCCACCGTAAAGAGTAAAAAAGCTGATGTTTCCAGCATTAGCCCTTCGTAAGAGTGAATTAGACAAAGGACTAACGCTCAAAACACTCTGATGAAGGGTTAATGCTCAAAATGTCAGCTTTTTTACTCTTTAAGGTGGCCAATTTACAATTTCAACTTAGTTGATATTTAACAATTATTCCATGAGCGCGAGTTGGATATGATGGTAGATAGCCAATGAGGTGCGTAGTGCCAATTTGGCTATAATCATCTCATATCCAACAAACACAAGTGGAATAATTGTTTTATTAAAAAAAAATGCCCTCAAGATATTAGACAAATCTTCTCGACTTTATTTTGTAAGAAGAAACCGGATGTTACAATGTACAGATATTGGATTATGGTGTATTGGTTCATATACCATAATGGCTAAACCAATAAAAAGTCTTGAATTGCATTATCCAATGATCCAGTTTTTAACAATACCAAATTTTCTGAAATCTGACAATCCTCTGACCTCTAAGAGTAACTAGCATCACTATCAACCTCTGAATCAAACATTCAGGTCACAAAAATGGACGAAATGATCACCATCTGAAGTTCTAAATTCTTGATTGTTAAACATTTTCTCCTTGTCAGCGCCTTGGTAATATACAGAGAACTGTATGGAGAATAACCATGCTGATGTTTGGCTGTAAAGGATTAACGCTGACCTTGAGTGAACTGAGAAGGAAAGTGTCAAGTGCTTGAACAATCAATGGAATTGTACTTTGTACCACACAAGGACCTGATAACAATTTGAGCTAATTGTACCTCTAACAATTTGGCAGGGGAGGGTGTGCTAATCTCTTTTACCAAATTAAGTAACATTTCCTGTGAAGCGTTGCCTCACCACTTCCATATCTTAATAGAGTAGACATCTATATTTATACAGGATTGCCTCTTCAGTGTAGTAAACACTGGTATCAACGGGGGTCCTGTTAACCACCCATCCCACCCCAGGGGAGGACATCCATCACACAGTAATCTCGTGCATGGGAAATTAACGTCTCCTGCCCCTAACCCTGCAGGAGACGGGACCTTCATTTATTCATCCCTATCCAAGAAGACTAGAATATCTAACCATTTCTTGATGTTATAGAAAGGCAGCATATTCTTCTCAATTATTTTAAGACCCTGAGTGTTGTTCCGGCCGGGGCTCCAACCCTCAACCTCCCGCACAACAGTCCAGCACTCTATCTATTGAGCTAACCGGGAGGCGGTTAGAGAAAAAAAATTAAGAAAAAAATTCTTTCAAAATAAAATGATTTCAAACTAACATCTTATACAACTTCACCTCTTTGTTGCATAAAGACTTGGTTTTTACTTCTGCTACAAGGAGTCCTATAATGTCATGATTTAGCGTGGCAGCCAAAGAAAAGAATCGGGAACTTGATGTTATCTCCTCATACCAAACATCAGGGTATCTGGCAAGATTTAGTAAAAGTTTACTATTTCATAAATTTAAATAATGGTCTTTTAATTGTCTTTTATCATTACTTTCACAACAGGTGTCAAATTCTGTCGTATCAAAAGCAAATACATTTGAAAATATGAGAAGTGACTTGCTTTGTCAAGTGGCAAATATCTACCAGATGAGCCTCCTGAAAACAGGTCTAAAAATATTTCATTGCATTGCATTTTACATTTTGTTTTGCTCTGTTCTCTTTTCCGAAAATTTGATGGTAAAGGAAAACCATAGCTTCAAAACATTCTGATAAGTAGTTTTTTAGAAAAGCTTTTCAAGATAAAATTAGTGATAATAATTTTGAATGACGTTTCGACCTTGCTGAGGTCGATGAAAAGGAAAATTTTTACATATATGTACTAAATTCAAGACCTGGGAATGATAAAGGCAATAAAATATGGAAATATGTAAACTCTAGGCATAAAATTGAAGTGATAAAATTGCAAAGGAGACAATACAAATAAATTAATATGAGAGTTGATGAAAGTAAAACTATAAATTACACAAAGATACCGTAAATTATTATAAAAATAGCTTGTGCGGACTGAGTCAAGGAATCATCAATCAACGATGACAGCAAGTTTAGACCTATGAGTACCGAAAGACCAAAAATGAGGGGGCGACCACCAAAGCACTATCATCTGCTACAACAGAAAGAAAAAGAATTAGCCACCACCGTACAAAGAATATTACCCAAAGAAATCGCCCAATAAGTCATTCAAAAAGGTTCGAGGCTTGCTCACCTATATGGCTTACCGAAAACCCATAAGCGC